GGCATCTGCGCTTCCTCGCACAATGTACAGCCACTATTATACACTACGGCACACGACGCTCAGATTAGAGCATTTGCACATGATGCGTGCATGATCCACACACACACACACAGAGAGAGAGAGAAAGACCTTTTAATCAGTTAACCGCGCCTACTTTTTCATTAGAAGGTTGAGTTTGCCCACATCAATTTGCAGGTGGGCCTATGGAGGCCCAACGGATATATTGCCACTGTCAACTTCCATAGCCGTAGCGCTTATTCCAAGCTAGTTGTTGGAAAAAGTCAAAGTATTGAGCTGCCCTATACTTTGAGCACAAGTGCATTAGGGTACATAGCTGCAAGGAACTTTTTAACCATCTCACGAGTGCATCCACAGCCAGTGGGTGAGCGGGAAGGACCTGCACAGCAACAGGGGGTGCTACCGACCCTGTCGCTTCATCTTTCTCCGTAGTGAGTTGTACCTGGACTCTATACAAACTTGATAAATTATTTCATAAGATCAATAAAAGGCGCTCCTAACTTCTTTTCCGCTCTGTCTAAGCCGTCTGTGTAGAGGGACGGAAAATAGGTGAGCTAACTTTAAGTGCGCCTTAGAGTCAATCCGAGCATTCATAGTTACTTCGATTGAGCATCTAACACACACTCACACGTTGAGCTTTTTTTGAATCAAGCCAAAAGTGCTCTGCAATAAATAAGCTGAACGGGTAGACAAATAAGAACTGAATTCTTTACAAATTCTTACGTAAAGTTCACTAGTTTATTAGAAAGTGCGGGTGTGTAGCTCGGCGCTAGCAAATCCCTAATTAGAGGCGTTTAGATACACATGCACCACGCATGCATGTGACTCTATGCGTGTCTAAGCACAACATGCGTTTGAAGTGCCCAGCATAATGCACAAACATCCAAGTGCATACCTGAAAACATCCAAATAATGCATACCCAGAAGTGCACCTTTGTCTTCGTAAAATTCTACAGCAATCTGTAATATGTTGCCTGACTCAACTTGGACGCTTCAACCAACACAAGAGTGCACCGCTTTCTCCGCCTACCTCTGCTTCTGTCTCTTTAGGCTCGCAGCTTATTGGTCCCCAATACAGGAAGCCTCCTCATCATATTCTACTCGTCTTCCCATAGGTCTGCGAATAATCCATCGCATACAACCTATGTATACACATGCTTCTGTAAATGGCTGGACAATGCATCACGTGAAATTGCAAGCATGAATAAATGAGTGGAAGCTAATTCAAAGCCTGCAAACATAAGTACGTGTGCTCACATACATACAGTGAAAACACCTATGTAGCTGAATCGGACACCATGGTCTCTTAAAAGACGATGGAAACAACATATACCAACTCTCAGGTGAAGGAAGACAGGCAATGCGGTTTATTGCCTAAGGAGAATGGTCGGGGTGCTCATTATGTCTAGATCTTCCGGAAAAGCACAGAGGGGCCCCTTTGTGGGGGACGCTTTGCTTTCAATGTTTCCAGCGCTTGTACGCACTGCGGTGCCCTTCACTTCGCCTAAGAACTTTGAGTACCTGCAGCAGGAGCAGCAGCCCCCACTGCTGCTACACCAAGACATCCGACAGATGCGAGGATGCAGTGCCACTCCGTGAAAAGCTAGAGGAGAAACTACGTTTTCTCAAAAGCACAAGACTCTACACACACTACATAAAGCACTATGCGCTGTCTGCGCCAGAAATCGCCATCAACAATCCACTCAATGGCATGTGCCCAAAACCCCGACGAAGCCGTTCCATCTACGCCATAGCAATGCTGCGGTTCTGCTGTCTCTCGGTCGATCTACGTAGAACCCCCTTTCGGGGTGTACCCACCAGAACCAACTCGCACACTAGCACGCACCTTGTCCCATGGTGTGCGCATCCCACCTCCGGTAGACCATGTTGCACATGCCACTCCATCTACAGCTCACTCTACAAAGAAACAATTGCACGCCACAAGTCGCACACACACAGTTAGCAGCGCCGACAAAGCGTACCGCCAGATACACCAATATTCGTGGAACAGACTAAGGCTGTGCGATTTTTGTAGATTCAGCAGAGTTTCACCTGTCTGCTGCATACCCTCAAAGACGCAGTCGATCGAATACAGTGCAGCGGCTGTGATGCGCGACACAACATCATTAAAAGATGCATTTTAGACGACTACCAACGCAACTGTTGTGTAGTACCCTTAAAGCTTTTGTAAGGGCACAAAGAGTGCTGCATCCAACGGTAAGGACTTTCTGCCTGAACTTTGCTTTTCCTCGTAGAGCAATAAAATGCTCTTTGCGTCATAAGCAAACCTTGCGCCTGCTAGAGTGTTCACGGGGGAGACATATCATGAAATTACTCGAAGTGGAGGCAAGTACTTGATAAATACAGAGAAGTGGCGTTCGCATTCTAAATGTCTTGAACTGTTACAGATGTGCATTTACACTACTCCTTGCCGTTTGTGTCTGTATGCTTTTATTCGAATCACTGCTCAGACATTGCCTGGCTAAGGTGCAGTTGTACTTTAATGTGTAGGTACTCGACCAGAAAATTTATGCGTGTGCTTGCAATGCGAAGTGCGAGTACGTCAGCAGAGTCAATAAACAAGTATTACTTTGTCCAGGGAATTTAGCAAAATGCATCTGCCTACTTCGAGCTAAACATATTGGGTCTTTGATACTTTTACGTGTGCAAGTTGAAAGCTTAGCCCCGAATTGTAAGGATATCGAAGTGAATGCACAGCTCTATACTTACAGGGTGCGAGAACACTGTGTATGCTGACTGTTTCCATTGAGAATCCACCCGACTAATAGCTGCCAACACCCAGCATAAAAATGTTCATCAGTGTTATTGGTTCTCTAAGAGGCCCATAAATGAGCTGCTGTAGTGCAATGGATTTTAAATTGCAAAAACGAAAGTCCACAGTGGAAACCCAAGCTTTTCATAGGATTTTACCAACGTTCCATTCGCAGCCCCGACTAGGTTGTGGTTCCATAACAGCTCTTAAGCCACTGTAGAGCCTGAGGTAACTTTTGCGAAACTTGCTTGTGATCCACTTGTCTATGTGTGCTGGCGATCTCTTGCAAGAAAATAGACGTCCTTGATATTGGAGTTTTTCACAGCGGCAACTCTGGATATTCTCTTGCTGCTTGCATTTTGCACATATTCGAAAGCATCGACTAATCAATCAAAGAGCGACCCTGCCTGAAGAAGTCGAAATTCATAAGAGCCACTGGTTAGCAAATTTGATGTCCTGTGTGGGGTGCATAATCCAGTTGCAATAGAGAGCACTTAAATGCTCATACTTTGATATAAGGTCAGTTTTAAGTTTAACTTTGCGGTGCGAGAGTTCGTCGCAGCTTCGGAATTGACTGCACAAACGCAAACCCATCGGCCTAACTGGTGCAACTACCAACAGCTTTCTTTTAGGAACTCGTCCTGAGCTGCGAACGCAGCTTCACGTCAAAATATTGAAAGCATTGCGATTCGCGACAAACCAGTTATGTGATCGTACCCACATTTACAACAGCTCTGACAATCCCTAAATGTCTGGAAACACGTTCACAGCCGTCATGCGCAGGGCAACGGCGTGAACGGGGCTTTCCGTACGCGCTACAAAAACGCAAGCTTCTCGAAAAATAATCTTTCAGACGCATTGTACGGAAGCCACGTGTGAATTGTGCCGATGAGGCAAATGCATTTGCGAAGAACGTTACGCTAAATGAATAAGAGCACACGAAAAGCAACCTTCATTATTTTGTAGCCACATCATCCTGCACAAAGACAAGTTTTCCCATCGTCAGCTCGGTTTGTGGCCCGAAGAAACGCCTTTTAGATGTAAAGAAGATACTTTGAATTGTGCAAATAGGAACGTTTAGAGCTTTCATATCAGGAACAACTTATCCCGTGTATGAACTGTTCTTCAGAGGCGCGCATTGTGTCTACACGGAAAAGAAGAAGGCGTCATATATATATGGGATCGATACAGGAGGATGCGATGCTGTGTACTAGATGTCATCTGTAATTAGTCGTGAATGGTTGGAGTGCTTACAAGGTGCACAAATAGGCGGTCAGCCTGTCAAAACCGCACATGTCGGGACTTTTGATGGTAGCTTGCAAGGGAAGGATAAAGATTTTTGGGAAAGTCAAAAGCTTTTGATTAAGCTTGCATTGACTTCGGAGTTAAGCATATCCTTGTAGAGACTTTAGATGGAACGGTATCCTGCTAGTCATACAAGCAACCGCAACCTTTTGGGCCGAGAGCTTAGATGATCTGGAGCAGCAAGCAGTTAATCTTCATAGGCACACCAAAATAATGGTGTCCTCTATGCATCGTTTTTTGCCTGGACATCTGGTCATTTTCAAGTGTCACAGTTCGCAAAACCTTAGGGGATAAGACATACTGCAGTCCGGAAGATGTGCCCTTTCGAAGGACTTGTTTCGGATACTGCTGAAGAAAAATGCACCCAGTATAGAAATGCAAAAAACTCCGCTATATATGACATGAATTGAGCGCGAATAAGCTAATGCGAAATCTCTCTACTGTCGGCTGCGGTCTGGTCCCTGTGGGGCGGCATGCATGCAGAAGTTTCCAGCTGGCGCATTCGTTACCTACTTCGCTGAGTTCTTTTCTAAACTATCACCTTAGTAAAACTCAGCTTGAAATCGATGCTGTGTTATGGTCGGCCCTAATAGACTGCATACTGTTCGGCCCCCGTTCCAAGCATCGATTTTAGGAGGCGACCGTCCTTTGTGTTGCCCCACTATATGGTTGTGCATTGGTCGGTATTCTTCATATTTCCGTCCATCGATCTGAGTATTTTTATTCAGCGGTTATGCGCCTTAAAAAACCAACGCCTCCGGCACGCCACAGGTCATGCAATCAACGCTGTTGTTGCTGATACCCAAGAAATATATGGGGAGTTCTTTTATTATACACGGCCGTAGTAATAATAGTATAATTTCTTCCGACATACTGGTCTATAAGAGGTCTCAAGCAGCGGAAGATGCAGGGCCAAGGCCAAAATCCTACGGAAGTTTTCAAGCGAGCGGTGGCGTCCGTATTGGCGCAGTGGTGAGAGAAAGGGACATGCACAACTACATTTGCGTGAAAACCTTCTCTAGAACACGTGCGTGTATCGTTCAAGAGCTTCTTTGGTCACATAGCATGATCTTTTCGAATTCCAGCACCCGCTGTTGTGGCTGCAGGACTCTGCTGAATTTAGCTGTTGAGCAGGGCTGGGGAGGTCGAGAATCATACAAGAAGCGGCAGCTGCTGTACGAAGATCTTGTCAGTGAATTTAAAGAGAGTGAGCGCACGCATACGGCGTCTTTGCCGGTGCATACAAAGCTGTCTGCCTCGCAGATGCAGCGGCATGTCCATTCCAGAATATCGAAGGTACTGTGTCTGTCTCTTTATTTGCAATGTCAGATAAATCAATTGATGTGGAAGATCTCGCGGAAATACTTTGTGAAAGGCTCACAAGAGACTTTTCCGTTTCTGTCGAAGACGATAGCGATGTTAGTTGCCCCACGGTAGTTCTACCCTCCAGGGACGCGTCCAGTGACTATCTTTTCTCCTCCGCTCCTGTATACTTCTATTTCAGTGTATTCTGCTAGGCTGTTGACTCCGAGGTCGATAGTATGGCTTTACACGCCGTGGTCTGTTACTTTCTCTGTGTGTAAATCGTGTGGAATGCTTAGCCAGGGTAGCGCAGCCCCCCAGGGGGAATTCATGCATTGATGTTTTGTTGAAATCCGTGCCTGGTACCCTGTGTTGCTCCTACTGTTGATGTGGCATAATAGCTTGAGGTAGCACAGCTGCTCGTGGACTTGCACAAAGAGACAAGCCACGGTTGCTTCGACTTGGCCATGAAAGTAGAGCAACAACAGCAACAGCATGCAACAGCTACAGCAAGAAGTCGTTGTGAAAATGCCTCATCAGCTGACGGTACTATAGATTTTTCGCAGATGCCGTTGCTGCTGATCCTCCGCATGAAGCTGGTTTAGGAGTACTTGAATCATTAATTTCATCTTTTCCTCTGTTGCTACGGTGCTCAATCTCAGTTGGGGACTTGGGACGAGGCTCCTCTATTGAGGCTGTACTTTTGGCTCCTGGACTTGGGTACGACGATTTTGCCTGTGTCGCCAGCTTTGCCATTGCTGTTTGCAGGCGAATGCGGCGCGAGCGAGTGCAGCGAGACGCATGAGGCACTCGAGACACTGATGGCCTCAACGGCAATCGTCCCCAGCACTGCTGACAACATTGGTACTGCAATATGATAGACCGCTGAGCAAATGTACCATTAGGCATAGAGTGAATGGCTTCAACTCTGAACTTGTAGCCATGGGGATAAGGTTTCTGGCTTTTCATTCATAATGAGATTTCATGAGTTAGCCACGTATCAGCCATTCGGTTTCGAACTACGGTCATCAACTACGGATTGGATGCAGCTGCGCTGTCTGCATGCAGCTGGGCGAACACGCTCCCGTACAGCAGCATTAGAAGAAGCACATGCGACAAGCGGGCTGCCGGAAGTACAGCCGGAAGCAAACCCATGGACCACTGTGGGGCCAAGAGGCAGCAACAGGAAACCCCGCTAAAGAGAATGCAGCAGCAGCTTTAGCACTGATGGTAGCAGCAGCCTGTGCGCTGAGATTTAATGCGGTACCTTGAAATTTCTGCTGCAGCTGTGCCATCAACATTTCGTTCAAAGTCCACTTCGCTGAGCATCCCAGCTTGGTATTGCTGTGCCCATGCTTCGTCACTACAGCCACACGTTAGTAGGAATGTTGAGGATTCTTGAAGCATAGCAGACCAAAATGGCTTTCGCAATGGATCTCCGTGTTAATTGAGGCACCGCAGCAGCCCACGGTGCGTTAGTCTAAGATCATATGGCCAAGGCGTAAGAACAGTTTGAAGTAGGGTTTGTCGTGTCTTCTGGTCTATGCGGTGGTGCGGCAAGAGATTGCGGAGATGCTACTAGCGCTGTGATGTCAATAGGTAGCTCATCCAGTGATGGACTAAGCGGCAATAGCTGACTGTTGGTCATCTTGATCTGGCAGAAACTGTACAGCCGCGGTAGTAGCGTCTTTGAAAATGTTTTCTTAAATGTACTGGCAGTATGGGCTTTCTGGCTTAATAAAAAAGCGCACGTAGTACCCCAGCGGCTTCCATAGGATCTAGGAAAAAGCTTCGCTGCTCAGCTGCCCACCGACCGATAGACGCTGCTGTTTCAGCAATCTGAGGGTAAGCACAACGCGTAAATTGGGTGTAGACAGTCCAGTGAGTCGGGAGAAGCAGGGGTCAAAGCGGTTAGTGTGGGCTAAGGCGAGCGACTGGACAGAACAAGAAAGAAAATGTGTAAGGCATTTATCATTCATTCGTAAAAGGGTCAAAACCATAGCAGGGGTTGATTTACTATTTGAGAAAAGGCAGTGATTAGCGGCGACACATGAAGAGATGTTTTACAGACGCGCATACAGCACCACGCCGTGAGAATACTGTTTTTTGTTTTGTCCTCATAGCTTCCGCTTAAATTTACTTCATACTTTGGGATAGGTATGGCTCGTACCTGAGCTGGTTGTGGCCTCGATGAATGGGCTTTTTGGCCTATATCAGGGGGCGCATAAAGCAAACGCACCCACGCCTCGGATGCACGCCCATGCGCGGTGCGCAGCGATTTCCACAATTGTTGCAGACTCTTGCCGTATCTGCAGGAAAAGCAGTGAAGATAGCAGCCGCGTCATCAACAGCAATACCAAAATGACCCCATTTGTTGTTTTCTGCTTAGCCTTTCAGGAGTTTGCAGCAAGGACCGAGGCAGGCAAGATGACGACTACAAATTCCAAGCGGTGCAGGACACTACCTAAGGAAAGACAGCCCCTACACGTTTTCCACGGAATCCCTGGCTGGATTTAAGAAAGGTGGCATTACCCGTCGCTTTCACCATCGTTCTTCTGAGCCGCATCGCTGCTCGAGCCGATGATTGCCATAAGCTGCGCGTCTCCTGTATGTACGCGAAGTACTACAGCGTCCCCCTTGGATACCTTGAGTGTGAAATCATAAGGAGCAGCAAGACAAGAAGCAGGCCTTAAAGGACCGCTAGGGATAGGCAGCATTAATGAGGTCAAGCCTCCAAGATTCTCAAATGCCTCTACCTCTAGACATATCCTACAGCGTCGAACCCGAGCCGTGGGGCGGTAGGGTATCCATGGAAGCGCATCCGAGAAAACGGAGCTGACGCAGCAGTATGCAAAGTATACCAATGCTCAATATTTTCCCTTCGCGTTTCAATAGCCTGGCAGTGCCCAGCAGCAAGCAGCCAGCTTACGCACAAACCATACAGGAGAGGAACAATAGGTGGTACCTATTTAAAGCGCTCTGGAATACTCACCTGCTGTGTCGGAATTGCTATGACTGCTTGTCGCCAAGCTCTTGTATAGTGCATTGGAAGTGTGGAGCCTGCAACACCTGCAGGAGCAGCTTCATAAGAGACCTGCTGCAGCAACCTTCTTATCGCGACGGGCTGGCTGGAAACTTTTTGCTGCCCTAGAGAGAACTCGAACCAGATCCCTAATGCGTTAACCTTGCCACTATGGATGGCCTCTATGGCATAGGTAGAATCAAGTTTCCGGGCGTTCACGTCCTTCAGAGCAACAATCGTTTCCGCATCTGCAGAAAAAAAGCACAAATATCTTACGTGTCTACCTGTCGATATGGCATTCAAACTGCTCATGTACAGAAAACGCATACCAAGCTCATGGATGTCTTGGCACCCATATGCTTCAGCTAGCTACTCCACTACGAGTGCACAGCTGCTTCATTCTGCTTGACCACTTTGAAACAACAGCAAACCCTCTGTTGTGGTGGACAAGATATTGAACTCAGCCAGTCAGAAGAACAGATGGATTTCCCTCAAGAACGATTAAGCATAGAATCCCCTAGGGATAGCATACCGCATTCTGCGCTCCAAAGCTCCACGGGATTACTTAACAGTAAGAAGTCTTCCTCTTCAAGGCACACCTCAAAGTAATCTCCCGCATCCGCTGTTGCAGCAGCAGCAGCGGCGTGCCATACTTCTGCAGTGGCTGCTTCTGCTGTAACAGTGCGCCCGTCTGAGGGGCCTACACCCAACTGCAGCAGTGCTCCCATCACTTTAATTCCACCGGGAAGCAATCCTGCACCTTTGCGCTTTAGTAGGGCCTGCAAAGAGCAAGCAGCGCACCTCAGTCAATGCTGTATTCTCTTCTTTTCAAACGCAGAGAAGATTAAACGTTTGCTTGAAAATGGCAAACACAAGCTAGCAGCTTGGCTCTATTGGTAGGTGTAACAGGTCGAAGAGAGAAAGTTAGCGTCATATCTCTAGCCGGCTAGGCGCGTTCCTTCTCCGTAGTTGCAGCGCAGCTTCCTCTAGTTATAGTGCCACGGAGCAGATCTTTCTATTGTGCCTTTAGTACGCTTGCCCCTCTCCCCCTTGTGCATTGTCCTTACCCGAGCCGCGTATTTCAAGTGCACGAGAACCCCCTCGCCTAATCCTGCATTGTCAAGACCCAGGGACGCAAATACCCAGGCTGGAGACTCCAGCCTGCGTAGCCTGCCAGGGCTATCTTTGTGCGAATCGCTTTTTTCTTGTTGCAAAAGAAGCTCCTGCAGCTGCTGCTTAATGTCCACCCCTGGCTTCATTCTGTGCGCCTCGGCAACCGCCAAAAGCGCTGTAGTGTCTTCCGCATCTGCAGTACGAGCAACGCCGCGTACACCTTCCGTTCATTGGTGTAGCGTCGAAAGCTATTAGTATGTGCTCTGTGAGCGAGGCCTAGTCAATCGAGCTGGTTCTGCGCAGGTCAAGGGATGAACAACGGGTTACCCTCTGAAGGTAAGAGACCGAAGAGGCTTGTCTGGAGGATCTTTACTGTCTCCTTCAGTTTGACTTTATGCAGCAACGTGACTTCATCGGCTTTGTCGCTCTTGGAGGAGTTCACTTGCGACGATTCGACCTTAGAGTGGGCTGGAGGTGCTGCTGTCGCTATTGCTTTTGCCGTTCTCGACAACTCCTTGATAGGGCGCCAACCTCCCCCTAGTTCAAGCTGAGTTTGTGTCTGCTGCAGAGGAATGGGATTAAATACCTCCTGCATCAAGTCGACCCACTGCATTCAGCCGTTTATTGTGCCCAATAAAGCGAGCAAGAAGCACGCGGAGACAACTCCTAGCAACTAGGAAACAATTGGCAGGGGCAAGAGGTAGTCAGAGCCACCAGGAAGCCTAGAGAGATGAAAAGAGCGCACCTCCGCATTGACGGACAGCAGCTTTTTAGTCACTGCGTGGACGCCACTAAGAGGCTCTGCAGCCACCATCCTAATAGGCATGAGGGCCCCGCAGTCTCTGATCTCTCGCATCTCCGCAGAATCGAAAAACGCATATGTGGCGGCTTGCAGGGAGAGGAGCGGCAGCAGGGCGCAACCCCCACAGCACAAGAGCGACACCGGGGGCACACTTCTCACAGCTTCTGCCAGCTGCTGCTGGGGGCCCTCGTTACCTGCTCCGAGTCCGCTGCCTGCTCGTAGTAGCCTCTGTCTCCTCCTCACCGTGCGCTGGTATCCATCAAACTGGTGCTCCATGTGCTGCAATAAAGCCTCTTGTAGCACTGAAGCAGCAGGCACAGCAACATCAGCTTTCCAGGAAGCGCGTTAAAGCACTTTGGATCGATGCGACGGCTCTAATCCCTGCCATCCATGCCAAGGATTGCAATGCTCCTAATCGTTTGAGGCACCCGAGCGGGCAGGAGCGGCCAGAGACAAAACATGCACCCTATACGCATGCGCCGAAACAGCGAGTGAGTTCCAACAGTCGCCACTAAGCATGCACAGACACCGATATACAGGACTTTTATTCCTGCCCCTCACCGTCAATATGTCGCGGTGGCGTTGGAAGACTTACGGCGAACTAAGACAGGATCGCGTGCGACGTCCAGATAATGCGGTGGCAGCGCGGTCCGATGCTCCGAGGCAGCACAGTATTTTCGCTTGCGTGCTGTAGGGCCGCTGGAGGAAGCAGGGTCCTCGATTATTCTGCATTCGGAAAAGTCAGTAGCCTTCGAGGCTTAGAGCGTAGACGCTTCTTCCTGGAGCACGTGTCTGAAGCAAGCAGTTGGTTCTATGGCCAACAATGCAGCCCACGGCTCCGGGGTAGAGCTGAGGTGCATGCCACAATTGCGCGAACTGCATGTCTGTGAAGAACTACCTGAGGGAAAGTTTTGTAGGTCCATGCGACACCTGTACTCGAATGCGTTGCCCTTCCTCAAGCCACACCGGGGGAACCCATTGAAGGCCCTGCTTTATAGGGCGCTCGCCTTGGTGCCGCGCTTCTGCACTTAGTGTGGTTCTTGGTTCTACACTGGATGCTGTGGCTACAATTCCATGGACGTCACCTTGCCTTTTCACTGGAGCAGTTGAGAAAAAAAGCACATGGGACGCTGGCTTTTCAGGCTCTCCGGGATGCTTTTCTGCAGGCTTTCCCCGTCGCTCATTGATGTCCATCCAAATCGCAAAAGCATTAACATAGCCTGGACGTGAATTAGATTCAAGCCAAAAGGTCTTTTCCTGGTCCAGAGGCAAATCCTAAAAGAAGCAACCAGCGCACCTGCAGCCTATCTATCCGTCTGCATGCGCATTTAAACAGGGATTACTGTGGCCTTAGCAGTCCGCAGAAGCCACCCAAACCCGCCGGTCGTACAGGGTGTCACTCCGTGTGCTCGCCGTATCAAACTTGCCACATAGCCAGCAGGGTTGCTGTTCTCAATGTTTTGCAGCAGATAAAGAAAGGCAGCATGTGGCATTGGTTTTTTCCTTAATAGAAGAGGCTTCACCGCACCTCTTCTAGATTAGCGAGAGATCCATCGAACCGGAAGGACAGCACCTTTCTAGCTTCAGTGCGTGGTGTACAGACGTCCCCGTATGGAGCGGCGGCTTCGTAATCCACCGAAGCTTCTGTTACTTCATCAGGATAGAGCTGCAGCGCAACAGAGGCTACATGAGGGGTCCATCGAGCAGCTGCCTCAAGCGGCGACACATCAAGCAGCCTTGGGTCCGCTGATCTTGAGGCCTGTGCTTCTGCGCCAGCTGTCGGTGCTGCTGTGTCTCCGTCTTTTGAAGCTGGTGGACTGCGAAAAGCACCAAGGGGCCTTATTTTGGGAAGCCGAACTTCGTATGCCTGAATCCATACGTCTACGCTGTAGGCATTCACAGAGAACCCATGCAGTCTACAAAAGCGCCACATCGTACCCTTAATGCCCGAAGCCCTTCGCTCTGAGCCAATAGCCAATAGCCTATCCCCTAGCGCATACAGAGAAACCCCAATCGCGATAATATATGGGTGCAGAAGCCTGAATGAAGCGAGTAGCCCAGTGCGCTCGTTCCCACCATGCAAGTTGGTCTACCTACTTTCGCGCTACACCTTAGACTCACACCCCACATGCTCGACCCTAGAAATATCGGAGAGCCCATGAATGCAAAGGCTCAGGCATCACGTGAACTGTTACCTTGCAGGAAACACCAGAGGCCTTTCGGTGCAGAGGCTTCGGGCGTGGCGAACGAGGGGCAACAGTTGCCGTCCAAGCACTCCGACCTCGAACAGCGTGGAGTCCAGGAAGAGGCAGTTGAAGGGGTGCCGTAGCAGCAGTTCTGTTTGAGTCGTCGTCACGACTCTTTGGTTTGGCGGGACTGTTACGTGTCCCCCAGAATCCCCTCCGTAGTTTGTGTCTTCATCCCTCTTGCCTCCAGCTTTTTCGTCGTATTTCTGCCTGTTATATGCGTGTTTTTCTTGCTCTCCTGAGTCGGCAGAACGTTTCAGAAGGTACGGACTCAAAGGCAAGATGCGAGCGGCCTCGGCGGCACCACAGACCTTCAGCACTTCAGCATAAGTCGCCACTGCAGTTTCACAGAGACACACACCCTAGGCAGTCGTTCAAGCGCAAACCGTGCATGTCCTACATAACCAGCACCAGGATTAACACATTTTTACTTCCTTAACAACCTTAAATGGTGCAGTAACCAGTGTTCCTGGTCTTGCGTGATGTATAATGCCACCTCCGTATTCACTGATAGCACGACTCGTCAAAAGTGGTGTGTTGGTGTTTGATGTTTGGTGCGTAAAAAGGCGTAAAGCATTTTCAGCAGGATGACAATACGCTTACGCATCGGCGGAGAGGAAAACAGTGGACACGCCGTCAAGGTGAGGGGCGCGCACGTTGCTTCACTGCTCTCCTGTGCTTTGGCAACCAGGCGAGTCGCTTCAAGCAGAGGAGCGCAGTCTCCCATGCCGAGAAAGAAACAGTGCTGCTGCGCCACGCGATGGTTGATGTCACTCTCTGAGACTTGCGCATCATGGCAGCTTTCGTTTGGGGTCTTCCTGATGTCAGCGCTTGGGTTTATGAGAGCCTCCTGGACTGCCCGCCGAACGCCTGATAAGAACGCTTTTGAAAGAGGGCAGTTTGCTGCTTGCCGACATCGCTGCGCTTCGCGGAGATCGCTTCCCATCTGGAGAGACAGACAACATTGCCTTAAGCAGTTAGCGAGCTCGTGAATCGCCGTGGTTCTCGGTCCAGCACTACTGAGAGGGGGGGGCTGCGGCTAGCATCCTCTGCGGCTAACGGCCCCTACCACAAGAGGCACAGACTGCATGCAGTTGCAGACAAGCGGACTGGTGGTAGGCAGCTACGTGACAAAGCAGCTAAAGCGGAGCCTGAGGGTCTACTACGTGCTAAAAGCTTTTGCCTGGATGAAATTGGAAAACGCAAGGCCAACTTGCGCCTTGAGCAGGCGCTGCTGCCGTTCAGGAGATGAGGTGGAATCTGCGAGCTCCTTGTACACCTCGGTGAAGTCGCAAGGCAAGTCTGCGCCTTTTTCGAGCGGATCAAAGCGCAGAAGCTGTGAGACGAAATTCGTGTTACTGGAGCCGGGCTCAAAAGCGCCAGATCCCCCTGCAACAAAGCCTTACCCCACACAGGCGCCTCTGCGTAGCGACGGGAAGCAGGTGGCCGTGAATCAGGAGCTCAGTCGTGCGTGCAGAACAAATGCGAAAGACGCCTCCGTCTGTCCCACTGTGAGGTCAAACAGTCGAGCAAAAAGCACTTTCTGCGCCGTAGCGCAGCCCTCCCTTTCGAGACGTACACCCCGCGCCCGCTGGCTTGCAATACATCCACCCATCCATCCATTACGCTGCTGGAGCCTTTAGTTCCTGAGCGGTTTATTACGTTCCTAAGAGTGCCAGACCCGAGGAGGAACCCTCACGAAGCGACAGCAGGAGTACCAGATACTAAACACCTGCTTGCGCAGGCTCAGCAGCAGTAGCAGTAACAGGGCAACTGAGGACATAATCGAAAGCGCTACCAGGATTGCAGCATTGCATACTACCTACCTGTCAGAAGGGATTCAATTTGACGGCGATGCTCCTCCGACGTCTCTGGAGGAAACTCAAGCATGCCCGTTTCGAGGCCCCCCCCAGCATCAGGCACCACTTTCCTGCGCGATTGGGCATTGCAGAAGCATGTACGCATTGATAACGCAGCACGTAGAGGTAAGTGCAGGTAAACAACGGGGTTCGCGGGCTTTACGAAAAACACCGACGGATGTGTAGTCAAGGGTATGGAGCACAGGCAGCACAGCATCGGCATCCTTGCGCTCTGCCGTGAGACACAGCAAGTGGGGCGGCAGCGAGCGCAAGCCTCTTGTCTTACATAGGCTCCTCCTCTTCCTCTGGTTGGATGCCTTTGAACCTGCTGTAATCCAAGCTGACCCGCATCCGCTGCTTTTGATGCTCCAGAGCCTCTCTGCTCTTGGCTAGCCAGCTAGCGAGCCCCTTCTCATCTGGCTGGTACCGCTGCGCTTGCTGAAAGGCTGCAATCGCGCCGGCAAAATCCGCTTTTCCAAAGAGCGCCCGTCCCGCCCTAAACCAGCCCTACTCACAGAGTCGCAGGTCACACCAGGTGCCTGTCGCGTTCATACGGCTTTCCTACTGCAGGAATGACTTTGCAGTAGCACTCTTTGTACCCCCGCATCCTGCAGCGATAAGGGGGGCCTGGGTGTCGTGACATTGTAGTGCAGTGCAACCTGCTGCACAGACAGCGTCCTGAGCAGTTGGAAGCAGCAAAATTCCTGGAGAACTCAGCAGCCATGCATCGGCAGCAGCCATAGATGCCGCGGCTGCTGTGTTTCCAGCGGCAGCATCATCAAGTGTTTTAGTGGCAGTACCTTTGGCCATGCTGGGCTTAGTTTGATGCACTCTCGCGCTGCCTCGAGTGCGTCGTCATATCGACTCATAGCTGCGAAGCACGCGCTGCAGTTGGAGTGGAGCTGCTGCAGCTGCTTCTTAAATGTGTGTTGCTGTTGCATGGGGGGCTGAGACTTTGAGCCTTTCTCGGGTGCAGGCACCAAGTGTTTGTACGCGGTGATAGCTTCTGCGTAGTGCTTCAGAGCACCTCTATAGTCGCCATCCCTGAGCATCATCTGTCAAAAGAGGAACAGTCTTCTAACCCTTGGGAGTGTGAGGAGGCCTCGTTAAGGTCACATGGTGAAAAACGTGTCACTGGGGTTTGCGGAAGAATCTGTCACCTGAAGCATTGGTTTCCAAGTTCTTGTGTGCGTTGGACGGCATACTGCACTTCAGGAACCTGCAACGACCCGAGGACGCGTTGGACCGCCTCAGAGTCTCCCGCAGCAAAAGCTGCCATCGCCCTCTGTGCCGTCTCTTCCATCTCGCGTGTGCCTTAGGGAGCAGTAAAGACAGAAGGAAGTCCCTTAGAAGGGAACTGCAGCAACAAAGCGAAGAAATGGCACGCACTTAGCCACTTTTCCTGCTGGGAAAGAGGGTGTGTTGCAAGCGAACGCCTTTGAAGGGACCTTTGTGGGGCAGCAGGGCTGTGCCAGGAGAAAGGAAGCGAGACAGTGAGTCTCGTTGAACGTCCGGATATCTAGAGGAGGTAGTACGCTAAATACAAGCAGTTGATAAAGCTTAATGCAACGACAAAAGAACAATCTTTCCAACAAAAGAGTGCCTACTTCTCCTTCAAGCCGCTCATCTGCCTAAAGAAGATCCATCGTCTGCGCGTTGGGGGAGGGGAAGGGACGGGGGCCATGGGAAAACATCCCTGAAACATCTGCCCTAGGCTTAGAAAAACCCTGTCTGACAGACAAAGATTTTTCGAAGGCATATGAAGCGCACTTTCAACTACAAAAATAGTCATTTCGTAATGGAACAAGCCATGATTCCTTTTCGACCGGAATAGCAACCGGCGGGATGATGATGAGGCGTTCCGGGTCACTGTTGAATGGCTCGCTCTAATTTCTCCTTATCGCACAAAGAATCAATAAGTCTTAAAAGCCAATATTTTGATTCAAACACTAAGCAAAAACGCGTGAAAATACCCCAATGTGTTGGAGTGTAGATGGTGTACAGAGCGCACGGGTCATCGCGCACAGAGCCGATACTCTTTGCCGCCATACTGTGTCCATCCCCAATCGGTCATTCTCCTCCGGTTTTCCAGCCTGTTGTTTGAATTGTGCTTTGCTTACGCGTCTTCTTTATTAAATAAGCTTAACAGGTGGCATCGCAGGCCTTTAGCCCATGAGATATGCGGTTAGAACCGCAGCCGCCGCAGAAGCCGGCTTACTCGAACAACCCGCTGCGTTTCAGCGCCTGAGCCTTTCTGTTTGCCCTTCAACAGTGCGCCTCTCTTCTTTTGCCGTGTATTTCTGTCCTTGCAGCGTGATCGTCAGTGCAGGAGCGGCAGCTTAGTACAGCCAGCCGCGGCTGCAGCAGCAGCCCTCGCGTCGAGGCGTCCGCAGTGGGTGTTCGTGCCTTCCAGCATCAGCAGCACGTGGTGCTTCACGGACGAGAGCAACATTAAATAGTCCAATGGCCGTGTCTCGTTTAGAGACCAGAAGGGATATCTTGTCATTCCACCCGGCAGCTCCATAGCTTTCAACGACTATGCGCACTGTCAAGCAGCTAGCGACCCTAAAGGCGCGTTCTGCACCTCCATAGAAACGCACAGAACATTCTGTATGCAGAGAGATATCCTAGTTTTCTTTGGTTTCTCACAGTGTGGGGTTTTCAAGCCACCAACCCCACCATCCGTACCACCTGCCCGTGCCCGAGCAGGAGAAGGTCTGCAGTAACCGTGTCTGACACATCAGTCAAAATCGTGCGGACAGTGCGCACATCAGCGAGGCTCCCTGATGATGTCGGGATCTCACGAGACAAATTCCAGCAGCCTCAGCTTTTTCCACCCAAGTTCACCCTTTCTTACCCCCGAAGAGGGCTTCATACAGCACGGGGTGCTGCAAGACAGCAAATGCTCGCTAACCCCACACCTGCAATCTTTTGCACTCCCTGAGCCAGACCAGCAGCAGCAACAGCAGCCGATGCCTAAACAACCGCTGCAAGGCATCAGCAGACCGATTTTGGAGGCGGTCCGCCAGCTTCGCGAACCTCAAGCTCTGCCAAGACACAGCCCACGAGGAGAGAAGCCTTCCCTAGATGTACCTTCTCTCTTTAAGCAGCAACGTGCAGAGCCGCCGCGAGCCGCAAATGGCCAGCCGCTCAGATCACAGCCGCTGCAGTGGCTGCATCGCACCCGTGTGAATGGAGGCTCCATGTGTTACTGCTGCTGCCCATTCCCTCCGGTTCCAATCCCAGAGAGCCTAAGAGCAGAACAGCAGCAGCGGCTGCAGGAGCAGCGCCGTAAAAAGCAACAAATGCAGCCCTTACAGGCGGAAAACTGTCGGACGAGTGGCGATGATGTGTGGGCAACGCCAGCCTTTGAGACTGGACCGCCTTCGCGAGTCTGTGGCTTCAGTTCGTGCTTCTCCACACCTACCCTGCCACCAGCGCTTTCCGCCTCTCTCTCCCACATACATCCGCAGTCCGATCATCACCAACAACAGCTGCTGCTTCGGGAGGCTCTGACGCTCCCTGAGCCAGGAATGGAGCAGCAACAGCAGCAGCTGCACGTGGAGCAGCAGCAACAGCAGCAGCTGCACGAGGAGCAGCAGCAACAGCAGCAGCGGCACGTGGAGCAGCAGCAACAGCAGCAGCTGCACGAGGAGCAGCAGCAACAGCAGCAGCTGCACGAGGAGCAGCAGCAACAGCAGCAGCCGACGCAACATTGCCAACAGGCACAGCGCCGCGCATCGCCGCCCAAAGAGTTTAAAAGGCTCTTTAGTGCGAGTAGCAACATGGCTTATGATGCTATTTTAAAGGCCTTAAACCCCCAGGCGACGTCTCAGCAGCAACATGCCATTGGCACCTCCGAAGCAAGCAGTCTAACTGATCAAGCTGAAATGTGGGGATGCGAAGGCGCAGACAGCAGCCTTGGGGGACTGTGTCTTACCACCAGTCTGCCTGAGCCGCTGCAAGCGAGGGAGCGGCAGCACCAGGAGGCTAGAAGCTCGTGGTCCTTTGACGGAGTGTCTCTTCTTCCTTCGGTGCAAAGGCTGGCAAGCTATGCTGGCATAGAGGCCAGGGTGCGTCACGCACGTCGGCAACAACAACAGCCGCCCTTGCTGCGCTTGCAGCAACAGACGCAGCATGCACGCACTCAGACTCTCCCGCGGCGAGGCTCTAGTGCGGATAACGCTTGTAGCAGCTGTGATACGAAGATGCTGTCGAGGTTCTGACTCGGGAGTGATACACAGCCGCACGCCGAGAAAGCGCATCGATCAAGGCAGCAGAAGCAAGAGGAGCCGCTGCTGGACAGACAGCAATATGCCCAGAGGATGCAGGTGCATTAGCACGAAGTGAGCGCGCAGTAGGCTGTTGAGCAACTGTGAGGAACAGGGGCGATCGCCGACGCCGCTCGTCGAGGATACGCAGCTGCAACAGCCGCCACTCCGGAAGTGCCTCCTGTCTTCTGTGCACGACGTGCATGCCGCCAGCACCCCTCTTGCAAGTCTGCTGAGCGCTATTGCTATAACGTCTGAAGACTTGTCGTCGAGGTTCCTGCCATGGCGACGACGCCCCTGTGGAGGCAGGAGGCAGGCAGCAGCCGCTACTGGACTGACCTGTGCGAGAGAAGCGTGCAGCTGGCGTCGCCTTGCAAGAACAACAACTCTTCGTGTACTACTCTGCGGGAGGCTGCGAAGAAGAAGGCAACATGCACGAGTGTGTCGCGGCAGTTGCGCAAATGCGCACAACCGCCGCAATGCAACGGAGAGCGCATGCCGCGGCAGCAGCCACTGGTGCGACTGCTGGGTGCGCTTGAGGCGTAGCAGGGGGCGAATCCACACAAGCACGAGCTCGCAGTGTGTCTACTGCAGTGGCAGCACCAACGCAGCTTGTGTGTACTCAACAAGCGAGACGTGTGGAGATCATCATAGCGGCAGCAGCAGGAATGGATCTTGGGGTATTCTGTTTGCTCCACAAACAGCAACACGGAGCAGCAAGAGACGCACAGGTTGTTGCTGCCTCAAAGCAGCAGGTCCAACATCGGCAGGCAGACATGCAGACAGGCAGGCAGACAGACAGACACCGGAAACTGTGGATTAGCGTCTGGAGCATCTGCTGGACACAGCAGGGGTTGCAAGTGCAGTAAAATCTTCAGCAGGGGTTGATTTTACCCCTTTCTCCCCCCTACTACTACAGCCGCGGAGTGCGTCCCCCAGCGGCGAAGGCAGCGTACGTTGAAAAGGTGGGCCTTACGCCTTTCAGCGTGTTGCAGAAGGGTGCAGGGAGAACTCGAAAGTGCGCGCTGAAGAAGATGCAGCACAGCTCTTCGTGTGGTTACAGCAGCAGCGTCTCTACCGACATCGGCTCTTTCCTCACTCCCCTGAGGCTGCAGCACCGCGCACTTGGAGATACATGCAAAAAGAGCGGCGCACAAAACAGCTACAGGCCTTGACAAGTTCATTGCGGCACCCTCCATAGGACGTGTCAGCGCGTCGAGCTTCCTTAACGGCAGGCACTAAAGCCGAGTTGCTGGCGACAGACTCCCAGGCATGACGGAGCGCCCTTCAGCTAGCGGCTTTCGAGACACGTTTGCGCGCAGCTGGCTGCGCAAGAAGGAACGCCTGCAAAAATGTGATGCACGAAAAGTTACTCGCGTCATGGCGTTCCCCGTTGCTGCCGAGAGGCATGTGTGCACTGCGGGCCGTGTCTATACTCGAAGCCACCAATATGCCGTTCTTGAAGCAAGAAGGCTGTGTGGATGCACGTCTGGTATTCGCCCGTCAGTAGAAGCTGCAACACAAGCACGGTGAATAGCTCGGATAACCGCATAAACGCGCGGCAGAAGCCGCAAAGCAAAGCCGCATCCAACCCCTCTTGTGCAGGGGCACTGCTGCGAGGAGCTGCCTGCTGCGGACTAGCAGCGAGCGCTATGCAACACCTCTTGCATCAACCGACGCAACAGTCGCAAAAACATCGATTACAAAAGCAGCAGCAATTACAAAAACGCGAGCGCGGCGGCAAGACCACGGCGTTCCCACCAGCAGGCGAACGAAGAGCTGCACTGTGCGGAAAAGGTGCACGGGGCATATCCACTGTTGTTGTTGTCAGGGGAAGGGGTATGTGTTGCACAAGGAGCATCGGCGTCTCAATCAGGGAGCAGAATCGAAGGTTTTTTTCCTAAGAAAAGGCATGTAGCAGTCGTAGGGAAGCGGAGAGAGCCACTTCGTCTGAGCGGTCTCATGTGGCATAGACAGCAGTACACGCTGGAGGAGAGCGGCCTAGCGCCGCCTCTGCAACCACATGACTTAGACAAGGCATCCTTGCCAAAGCAGAAAGACAAGGCAACTGCTTCCCCAGTTTTGCGTGGAAGCGCAGGTGTAGCTGCAGAAAGCAGAGCGGCGACCCATACGTGAAAAAGCTGGAAGAAGCAAAAACCAGATGCTCTGCGATAGCGCTCCAGAGCGAGCAGCTCCTGCTTTCAAAGCAGCACATTCTCCAGCAACATCATGTGCAGCGACGCGCTGAGCAGGAACGTATAGAGCCGGAGATCGATCACGGCGATATGCATGGGCAAAACGTTATCGTGGGCTTCGCCAACTCGCGTGTGGTGCATGGGAGCGAGCCATGCACCTGCAGCAGCAGCTGCAACAACACCAGCAGCGGAAAGCCCTTCCTGCGCAGCCGCAAGGTGTCTCGAAAGAACGAAATGCTTCGTGCCGGCAGCAATATACTGTCCAAAAAAAAGCAATGGCAGAAACAGCAGACGCAAAGCACCACATGCGCAGACACACAATTACACAAACACGCAGCTACACACGCACACACAGAAAGAGATACACCTCAAAGGCAGCAGGGATTTCTGCAGTTGGAGAAGCTGCAACACGGCCTTGTGCAGCTCCAACTCAGCATGGAAGTGGCATTCTGTTGCAAAAGAGGCAGCGGTTTCTTCAGCTCTCCGTGAAGTGTTAGCCGTCTAGCAAGCAGTAGGGAATGGTGGGCTAGGTGAGCGGGAAGCTTGTGCTGCCTGCTGTTTGACGCCGCGCGAAGCAGCCACACACAGGTGCAGCAACAGAAAAAACGCTGCGTCTTTACATACAGCTTGGAATCATACGCAGCAGCTGAAGGAGCAGCAGCAAGCCACTCGGATTCTGTCGAAGGGCAAGGAGTTGCAGGAGCAGCTGCTGCAGCGGCAGCAGCACGTAAGACAAAGGCATTCCCAGCTTCATATAATTTATTCATCCCCGCATGCATGCATGCATGCGGCCGCAGCCAAACTGCTGCAGCTGCTGCAGGCTTCCCAGCGATCACCTGGAGAAGGCGTGCCGCACGAAGCTGGCGCTGCACTAAGCCCGCACAGAGCGATAGACACATACACACACACACATACACATACACACACACATACAATTTTGGCGGCAGTCTCTGTTTCCAAGACAGTCTTTACATGCACATCCCCCGCTGTGTAGAAATGCCAACATCGGCAGCACCAGCGGCAGCTTTTCTGCTGTTCACTCCCCTGCCAGGGGCGAACGCTGCAGCGTGCGACAGTTGCCGTCTCACCGCGTCTCAGCAGGTGTTGTACGCGACTGTGTGGAGGGAAAGCATGGCATAAAGTGTGTATTAGAGTGGGAATGTCGGGCTGCAGAATGCAGGATCGCCTTGCCGCTCTCTCTCCAGCAAGTGCAGCAAGCGTGGACGGGAGCCTGCTGACGCGAGCAGCCGCATGCCCCCATCCATCCCGCGTGCTCACGAGGGTGGAAGGCGGCTGCTGGTGAGCCAGGAAAACAGAAGCAAGCCGTGGCTTGCTAGACACGCACAAGCGGATGCAGACGTAGCTGCACCCCCTGGAACGTATATGCAGCGGTAAATGCAGCAGAGGACGTAGTCGGGCTATGCAACAGCAAGGGGGCACTGCCTGGTGCAGCCTCTGAGGGAGCAGGAGAAGCAGCTTCAGCAGGAGATGCCGACGCAGAAGCCGCATCTGGGTTTGGCAGTGTTCATGACATTAACCGGAGCCGCAAAGCTGACAGCTGCGATTGCTAAGTGCGCAGCACACCGTCAGACGCAGCAGCTGCAAGCGTGCAAAAGCAAGAAAGCTTACGAGAACAGAGATGAAAGACAGGAAGTCACGAGAGGCCACAGACGCTTCAGACGGGTTCTTCAAGACAGTCGTGGTTCCGGCTTTTTGTTGTGCGTCATGCGCTGCGGAATGTAGACATACATATATATATATGCGAAGAAGAGGCAAAGCGCTTCGCAGCTGCAGAAACAACAGCAGCAACATCCCACTGTACCCTTGTTCGCAATGCGGAGCCGCTTGGAAAACAGCCTCGGAAGAGACGATGCAGCCAGGAGTACTGGTGCGATCATTGTTTGTACTTGGAATCTACCTGAGGCTGCACGCGCCGCGACAGCCGTCTGCTTCTTCCCAAGGAGGGAGACAGCAGAAAGAGCAGGCAAATGGCAGCTGATTAGGGCAATTGTGGAGGTTGCTTCAGTGCTGGATTGGACTGCACGCCGTTGCAGTTATTCTGGAGCCGCCGCCTAAACTGTTTAGCAGCGAATCCCCGCCAGCAAAACAGCAGCGGCAGCGCTTTGGGTGCTACAGAATAGTGTTTTGCAAAGGCAGCCTTTGCGGCAGCAGACCAGAACAAGGGTGCGGAAAAGGCGTTGACAGATCGCCTCTCGCCGCCGTAAGGAAGCTGGAAATGAGCATAGCCCTTCTTTGGTCGTCGAAGGTGAAGGAGACACAGGTGTGAAGGTGCGCGCTGATGAAGACGTCTGCCGGAGAGCTTTGAGGTAACCAACTACACCCCTGTTGTGCTGCTGCAATGCCTCTGCAAGTTGGAGGTAGCCACGCAAAGGCAAAGGGCGCTGTCGAGAAAGAGCAACTTGTGGAGATCCAGGCAGCGGAGGCCAAGAGATGAAGACACTTGAGGTGCCCCCTGCAGCTGCTCGCGCTCAGCGGCGTTCGTAGGGAAGTTGTGCGTCACTTGTGGAAAATAGGGAAAGATGCGAGACGCTGATAGTGTGCTCGGGAAACTCCGTGGTATGGTGCACATGTCTATCTGCTGAATTGAGCACATGTGTTGCAGCAGCTCGGCGATTTGCAGGGCATTTACTCCCAGTACGCTTGGTAAATTCTTTGATGACACTCAAAAGGATTTAGAGCGCCTGACTAGGGGCTTTACGCTGTGCGCACTTGCTGTCATCACAAGAGGGAAACAGGCGGTGAAAGGTCCTGTGTGCAACAGCGGGAGAAGAAATACTTCGATGAAGACGGCGAGAACGGGGGCCTAACGAAGACGTTCAGAAGCGGCGAGCCGAGTTCTTTTTCTGTACAGCCGCCGCTGCATCGAGAAGGGAGCAAAGAGAGCAGCCATAGCTGCTGAGTGCGCCGCATTTTTTGGTGCCTTTTCTGCAAGTGCGAGGGGATTTTAGAGGAGAGGGCAGGGGTAACAGCCAGCGAAGCGCATAGACTCTCAGCGGTCGTGTGACCCTCGCTTCTTCAGCAGACACGTGGAGCCTCCTTCACCACCTTCAATTCGCCAACAGCAGGAAGGGCACCAGACCGTCAAAAGAGTTCTTTAGCAGTTCACATTTCTTCGATATTCAGCAAGCCACGAGTAAAGAGGCGCTGCTTGCACTATCAAAAGCCTCTTTAGTTCTGAAAGTAAGCTTCAAGTTATTCGGAGCCGCAGCGGACTGCGCTGAGTAGATAACTCAGCGAGCGAAACGCGACAGCCGTATCTGGCTGCTCCGCGGTCTGCAGGCCGCCACGCTAGGTCAATAAAACAAACACGCCAGCTAAACTGCTGGCAACAGTGCAAACCGAAGGCGACTCCAGCTAGCCAAAGGGCTGCTGGGCAGATGCCAGGGGGGACGCACCCCTCTAGAGGTGCGCGTTACACACAAGGCGGGCAGCGCGAGAAAACTGTTGCCGCGCAAACTCATCTGCAAGCTGCAGCATGAGGCCTGCTTTTAGCAGGGAGAGCAGAGCAGCCGCCGCTGTTCGGCAGTCCCCTTTCTTTTCTTGCATGCCCACTTCATTGCGGTCGCGCTCGCACGCGAAAAGCTGCAGCAGCAGCGCCAGAGAGAGCGACCAAGGCAGAGCAGCCAGCTGGCAAGAGTCCTAGCGAGTGGGATTACTTAGAGCGCACCAACTACTAGCAAAGGCGCTACCTAATCAGAGGGAGGACACAAGGGCGAAGAAAGGCAGGAAGAAAAGGGGAGGAAGGAAGAGGGAAGAGGGAGGAAGAAAACACGGGAGAAGAAATGGGGAGGAAGAAAGAGAGGGGAGACGAAGAAGGGAGAAAAGCGGGCTGTGGGCCGTTCAGAAGAAGCCTCCTAGATCAACGATATGGGCTGTTCCGAGCTATTGCGTGTGATGTATTTCCGTTGCGCGAACGAGAACGCTAGCAGAAAGGCGTTGACTGCAGCATCTCGGCAGCCCCTGTGTTTACGGCGAACGCGCAACAGCACAACCGTAACAAGTGGCTTTTCACGCAGACTTTTGCAGCAACCAGCGGCAGAGGCTAATCCTCCTCCAAAAAGAGCAACTCTCAAACATCTTAGCGGGTTTGCACGAATACGGCAAGTCCTTAAGGCCCTCCCAAAGACGGCTGCAGCGCAGTTTCTTTGGCTAGCCAGCAGCAGCAGCAGGCCTTGCTGCTCCAGCTGCCCGTACACTGATAAACGCTACAGCTTTAAGGGGCAGCTAGCACTGCCTTCAAGCTGCGCTGACCTCGTCCCCCCCGCTACCCCGGCGGGGGCAGCAGCGGCTGTTGGTGGCAGTGCAGCTGCTGTTGCTGCAGAGTCTGCGCAGTGGCGCGCAGCTCCGCTGTCGTGCAGAGCGAATTCATAGGCCACCAAAGCATCCGCAGGGGACGACACCCCCGCAGCAATGAGACACATATCCTGGAGGAGCTGTCTTATTCTGGGCCCTCGAAAGACTTCTAGGCAGTGCAGCAGGAGCTGTTGCTGCACAGGCTCCAGCTGCTGGAGCGGCGAACGGCTGCTGCTGCCACTGCCGCTGCTGGTGCTGCTTTCTCGCAGCCACGAGGAAACGCACAACAAGAGGGTGCTGTTGTAGCGCTCCCCCCACTGCGCGAACACCTTCCAGAGCACTGCCAAAGTTTCAATACCCCAGACTCCCAGCGAGCCGAGAACTGCAGGAACTAGCTGGTGCAGCTGCCGCTCCATTTGCTGCTGCCGCTGTCGCCTAGGGCAGCAGCAGCAGCAAACATACAAGAACCCCAAGCAGCGCTTCGCGACCTCCGCGTCATCACCCCGCAGGATGTGAGAACACAGCAGTAGCGATTGCTCGTACATGAGAGACTCGAAGAAACTCGTTTCCCTCACTACTTCTGCCCCCCCCCTGCCTGCTGCCGCCACGCCTTCCCCTTTTGCCTGCTGCAGCACCTGCAGCTGCTGCAGTTCTTGCTGCTGCTGCAGTTCTTGCTGCTGCAACTGCTGCTGATGCTGCGGCCCCCACGCAGATGCGTGGGCAGAGAGGAATTCCAAAAGAGGTACATACGCATCCGCCATGTCAGGTGGCAGTTGGTGGCTCAGACATACATACAACTCAAGAGCAGCTGCAGCGTCGTGCGCAATGCGCTGCCTCACAAGGCGCTGCAGCGGAGGCGTTGCTGCCGTAATCCTCAAAAGATCGGAGAGCAGCACAATACAAGAACCCTGAAGCGCGATCGCCGCAGCAGCGGCACCCCCTTGGTGCTGTTGCTGCTTTGCGGCTGCAGCTGCAATGCACGATTCTACAGTGGTAATAACAGCGCCCCACATATCCTGAGCGTCCTCCCGGCTACCCAGAACCGCCAGAAGTAGTCGTAGACACCGCAACGCACGCACAAAGAGATCGCCCCCCGTCTCTGTTTCTTGCTGCTGCTGCCGTTGCTGCTGCTGCTGCTCGGGGTACCCGCCTTCGGCCTGATGTTGCTGTTGCTGCTGCTGTTGTGGGAGTCGCGCTCGCAAATCTATCAGCTGCGAGAAGGACAGGCGTTCTCGTGAGGCACCTCCCGTGGGGAGCGTTGAAGCGCAATGCAGCAGCACATCCCGTACGAGCTGCAGGAGGTACACCCACAGCGCGGTGTCTTCTGTGTCTGGCTTCAAAAGCAGCGGCTGCTGCTGCTGCTGAAAGAGGTAGCACCCAGCTGCGTGCTGCCGCAGAAACTCCGCCTGCTCCTTCGGAGAGCGCAGCAGCAGCAGCGCAAAACAGTCGCTCGCGGCACTGACCTCGTTGCTGCCGCCAGCGGCTGCCGCAGCGGCAGGCCCCCTTGACACTTCAACCCGTCCAGAGAAGAGAGCAGCAGCGCAGCAATCCAGTCTGGCGAGCAGCCTCGCCGCTTGAGGGTGTCTCGCGCTGGGGAAAAGCGCAGTGCCGCTGTTCGCGCTGCTGCAGCTGCTGTTCACGCTGCTGCTGCGGATGCCCTCCGCAGTTTCCTGCAGCAACTGACAAAAGAGACACGCCATGTCTGTCGGCAGAAAGTGCTGCAGCAGCTTCACGATGGACGCGTGGAGCGTCCCATCGACCAGCGGCAGTTGCTGAGGCGCTACTGCCGCCACGAAGTCGCGCAGCTCGCGGAGCTGCTGCAGTCGTCTGTCTGCAACGACGGCGATGTCTGCGGCTTCCGCGGGAGCAGCGCTACTCGGCGCGCCTCCATTGACGGCAGCCTCCTGCTTCTCCACGTCCTCGAGCGCGGCGACTCCGAGATGGTGCCCTCCCCACGTGGTGAGCTGCAGCATGGCGTCTGAGAGGAGCGGGGGGTGCAGGAGCAGCAGCCGCGCGGCGGATCTGAGCGCGACTAGCCAAATGGTCGCCAGCAGAGGCAAGCTGCAGCAGGCAGTCCTCGAGAGACACGACTGCAAGCCGTCATACTCCGGATCCTCCGTGAAGTGGATCGCCGCCTTGCGCAGCAGCAGCGCCGCGGCTACGGCGACGTGCTGCTGCTGCGGCAGCCGCTGGAGCAGCAGCAGCGCGCCAGCGAGAGACTGCGGGATGTGGTTAAGCGCCTCGATGATGGCGTCTAGCAGCAGCAGCACAGACTCGACTTCGCAGACGTCTTCCCTCTCGACGGCGCCACGCAACAGCGCGGAGAGGGAGAGCAAGAAGGCATGACCTTGCTTCTCCCCGCACGCCTCGTGCAGAGCAAACAAATCCGCGAGCACGTCTCCTGCAGCCTCCATGAAGGGTGCCCACTCGGCTGCACCTTCCGCCATCCAGCAGGGGTTGCTGCGACGGCTGTGCTGCAGCAGAGCGGAGACGCAGCAGGGGGAAACTGCCGTCGCGAGCTGCTGCAGCAAGTCTTGCTGCAGCAGCCCGTCGCGTCGCATGTCCTTCACCTGCGCCCAGAAGGCGGAGACGCGCAGCCACGTCAGCGGATTCGCGCGCCACAGCAGCAGCAGCAAGCTGCCTGCCGCGGCAGCGCCAGGCAGCAGCAGCAGCTGCGGGTGCCCCTCCAGCATCGTCAGCAGCACGCCCCCCCACCGTATCAGGGTGGCAGTCTCTGTGCTGCGCGCGTGCTGCTGCAGCTGCACGAGATCCTCCTCGACTTGCTGGGAGAGCTGCTGGAAAGCCACCAGGAGACGCTGCAGCAAAGATCCCTCCGGCGTGCCTGCCGGCATAGAAGGCGCACCCCAGAAAGCCTCTATGGCGCCAGGTGCGGGCTGAACTCCCCACAAAGCCATAAACGCAGGCAAACGCGGGAGTGCTGCGACGAGGCAGTCGGTGAGATCGATGCTCAAGAAGAAGGGAGAGACGGCTTCCCCCAGCGCGCAGCACAGCGCAGACACGGGCACATCCGCTGTCTCTGCGCCATCCAGCCACGCCGTCAGAAGCACCAAGGCGCCCTCTCCGCAGCGCGCCTCGACGCCGCTGCTCCCCCTGCCTCCCCGCGCTGCTAAGGCTGCTGCTGCTGTAGAAGGCTTTGCAGCGGCACTCGCAGCGGCACTTGCAGCCGCGAGCACGCGAGATCCAAAAGTCAGCACCGAGTGACGGGCTAGTGCGACAGCTCGCCCTTGAGCGCCATCTCCGAGTCGCCTTGCGCCTCGACTCGGCAGATCCGATGCTCTGAGGAGGCATGGAATCGCAGCCAAGGCAGCTAAGGAGATCCAACAACTCCACGTGAGCGGGAGGTTTGCGTCGTCGAGGGGAGTGCTGCTGTTGCTGCCATCGGCAGGGGACGAGGGCATCCCTCCAAAAGCCCTCTCGCCACTTCCAAACGCAAGGAGCTGTCGCAAAGGTTCCACCAAGCGTTGCTGCTCCTGCTGCTGCTGCTCTTCGTGCTGGTGCTGGTGCTGTTGTTGCTGCTGCTCGTCGTGCTGCTGTAGCTGCGACTCGCCTATCGTTTGAAACGCAAGCGCGGCAAAACAATGGCCAAGTCTCCCGCCAACGGCATAGCTGAGCTCGTGCTGCTGCTCCTGCATGTGCTGCTGCATCTGCCTCACAGTAGCAAAGAGGGCGGCGGAGAGCTCCTCCTTGTGCGCCTGTTGGAGCAAATGCCCCTCATTGTCAATCTTCCACGCGAGGGTTTGGGCGCCTGCAAGCTGCAGCTGCGGCTGCTCCTGCTGCAGCAGCAGCCGGCACACTGCCCACGCAGCGGAGGATCTCTGAAACTCGAGCAGCCAGCTGTTCGCCGCTGCCTTCCTCTGAGGATCAGGGTCGGTGTAGAGACGCTCCAGCTGCTGCTGCAGCAGCACTACCAAACGCTCTGCATCCGGTGCTCCTCCGCCTCCTCCTGCGTTGACAGGCCCCGCCGTATCAGAGGCTGCTGCCTCCTGGCTGCGCTGTGTATTCATGACCACCAAGGTGCATCTGCTGCATCTGCTGCAGGCGCTTCCCCTATCGCTGCCGGTTCTGCAGAGCGGCACGCAGCACGTCGCAAAGCAAACAGAAGCACAACCAGCAGCGGCAGCCGGAGAGGGGCTGCTGGCTGCAAGCCACACACGGATTCAGGGTGATAAGGATCAGCGACCCCAACGCCTGAGGCTCTCAAGCCGCACGCCTCTAGACGCGAGCTGATGAATAAACTTGCTGGAAGCAGGTTGCAGTCAACAAAAAAAGGAGCGCCATAGAGTGTCTTGCGGCTTTCGCCACAATTCCCTGGCCCTGCATGCATGCATGCATGCATGCAGGAAGAGCAGCCTCACGGGGAGCGTCGCAGACGGATGCCCCGTTCAATGAACTCTCCATACCGTAATAGTAGAAAAAATCTTCCTAGAGGTATCTATATATGCATCTCTACTTGCATACGCAGTGGCTTCATCAAACTCTGCGCCGCGTGCTGTGTGCTCGGGCCTTTCAAGTGTATGCACAACAGTAATCACGCAGCCCGTTCCTGCTCTTTTTCTGGCAGTGTGGCTGCTGCCGCTGACAGCATGCGCGCTTTGCGCACGCATATCAGCCAGTACATACGCCGAATGAGCGGCAGCTGCGGCTGCCCTTAGCCAAAGGACTACCAGCAATTGCAACACATGCTTCGCAACAGCAGGCGCCATCTAGCCGTCGCATTTGCGGCTCTCCACGTGTCACATCTGCTGAATCTGCTCTTGGTGCCTTGGCTTACGAATACCCGCGTGCTTTTCCCTCCTCTGCGCAGCGTCAAGAGGAGGGCGTCAGCAGAAGCCTCTCGCATGGCTTTTTTTTGCACGCGCCTCCTGCCGATCCATATTCCCCTGCTCATCAGATATCTGCTGTATTTTTACCTCCAAGAGCACACTCCTCTGCCTAAGCTGCCCCAGCCATCATTGCGGGGATGTTTGCTGGCACCCTTGGACGTCTGCGCCTCTTCTCACTGCTAGAGAATCGCAATGCGCGGTTTGTTGCTGGCATTTGCGGACTCTCCCTTGGAATTTGGAGTTGTTCGCAGCACGTGCCTGAAGGCCACGTGGCGCTTCTCAAGAAGCGTGGAGATGGTAATGCATGATACCGCTTTCCTACAAAGGATCCCCTTTCCTCCGCTTACCTCGGCATGTGCGTCGTGCGCACTTCCTAAGGGAGCCGGTGCACTATCACAAGCTGCATGCCAGCCTTCTCCTTGATTGCTAGAGAAGTGCCTGCTGGAGTCTTTCGAAGAGGCCTCGTGTATGTGTATGGGTGTCTGTGCATGCGTGTCTGTGAATGTCTGCACCCTTGCACGCCTCAGGATCTGTCCAGCCGTATCTCTTTGGCAGCAGAGAACTCTTCCTTTTTAATCCCGTGACAACGCAAGTCGTTCTTTTCAGAGTGCAGCCCGTGAAGAAGAAGCTCCTCTGTACCGCCACCACGAAGGACAGCCGGCAGATCGAAGCACGTAGACACGCACACAGACACACATACATCCATACATTCAGCGATATACATAGCGCTACGCGCACATCCATATATATATATACACACACTATGCTATACACATATATATATGTATATACACCCCCACACATCCAGGTCCTCCGGTCTAAATGAAAAAAGCGCTTTTTTCCTGCATGTTTACGTGTAGCCTTTTAATGGATGTCTCTCTATGAACCGCGTTGATCCTCTCTCCTTGAACACCGACAGACGCCTTCATGGCCTCTTGCCGAAAGCAACGCTCCGAAAAGAGCGTTTTATTCGGACCACTCGATGCTGTGGAAATATAAAATACTTCTAGACTGATCGATACACGTATACATGCTTTTTGTGCATAATACACGCGTGTTTGCACACGGTAGACCGCCGTCCATGTATCGCGCTTCGTTTTTGAAATGCCTTTTCTACTAAAACTCTTTCCAGGAGTCTTCGCTCGCCATCGTTTAAATCCCATTCTACACTTTGCAATCGGCTGCCAGCTGTTGTTAGAGCCTAGTTTTTTTTTCAGGCGTAAGGACACCTTTCTTCATCCATCTGGCGTCATTGTGTCGGCTCTTTCTTTGAAACTGCTTATTTGCAGGCGTTCCTTCAAGTGCGCATACAGCCAAAGTTGGCATTCGTGCCCGAGATATTTCTTCATTTTGGCAAACAATACGCAAGGGAGTAAGAAGCGTCGCCACAATCCCTCTCGCCACCCTCCACTGCATGCATCTTTTCGTCGTACAACTGCACCGCGAGGGCATTTCGTGCTATTTCTTCTTGTGTGGACTCCATGGGAAAAAACATGTTGCGGGCTTACTTTTCTCTCTAGATGCCTCTTCTCTGCATAAGATGTCTCGCGCCGGATGCGCGAAGCGGCAGCATTAGGTGACACAGCTTTTTTGTTTTGTCCTTGTCAGATTCCTTGATCACGAGGCGCGGAGCGATATCTTGGCAGTCTGCAAAGAGGCAACGTTCGACACGTTGCTTGGCGTTGGCGAGGATGCGGATGCAGCGAAAGATCAAATTCTGAATCGACTCAGAGACGCTGCAACGTTTTACAAACTCGTCATCACTGAGGCCGTGAGTTGATGCCGCTGATGGTGGCTGCATCAGGGGTGGGATGGGGGTGAGCGGTTTAAACGTGTGATCACCGTAGTTCGATAAAAAGGCCAGAGGGGAGGCTGATCTTATCCTGCGGCTGCCGAGCGTGCTTGGATCGCTGTTTTGTGTGGATGTGTTGTGTGAATATGATGTATGTATATATATCTATATGTCAATGTACTGTGTGTATGGGTATGTATATGTATGCATTCGGTGTATGTATGTATGTATTTTGTGTGTATGTGTCTGTGCCTATGTGTGTATGTGTACGTACACTGTGTGGCTCTAAACTGTGTGTTTATCATCAGAAAATCATTTTGCGAGACCCCAACGCAGAGGAGGACTAGAGACGTAACTGCGTTTCGCGGGAGGGTAGAAAGTGCAAGAGCAGCCTGCAGGATTCGGCACATACAAGGCGCGGACGTAGGAAGGTGTCAGCGTGCAGAGTTCTATCAGTGCCGTTGCGAATGGATGCTTGCGAACTTAGTTCGACGGGCACGCATGTGCACAGCGTGGATGAAGATGCTGAATGCAGGAGGTCCTCTTGGCGCTGCCCGAGCGGCAGCGTTGTACTTGCTATCGCGCTCAGTGCTCTTTCGTAGGCTGCTTATGCCGCGTGCGCCTTTGGTTTTTCTGCAGCTGGTGCTTTTATTGCAGTGCTGCGTTGCTGAGAGTTCTCTGCTCGATGTAGCAAAGTGTGGGAGCCTGTCGCTCCCTGTGCAACAAACAGTGCTAACAAGCCCCCAGGGGAGGGGGAGGTGTATTTAAGTTTGAAGAATAGTTTAAAAGGCATCCCGTGAAGGTTCTAGCAGGCGACACTACGCGGGCCTCCTGCTACTTGCTGCCGCTACAAACCTCTCTGCGTGGTGGGTGGGGTTGCTGGCTTGAGGTTTATCCGTGTGTGGGGGTGGGCTGCTATCTAGATTTTCTTGACTATTTGAAGGACGTCTTCGTCCTCCAATTCGTGCCCTACGCGCACCTCGCACGCATTCGAACGCTCGCAGCTCGGGCTGCAGCTCGGGCAGTAAAAGTATTCTTACAAGCAGCAACGCAGCTCAAGAGGCAGCCTAGACATTTAAAGAATGACACGTACCGAGTCCAACATGCTGAGGCTGGTGCTTGGCGCTGGCTCCCCACACAAATGCATACTTGAAGTCCTTCAGTAAATCCTAAAATGCAAAAGCGCAGAGCTACATTTTACGAACGTGCACCTCACTAGCAGCAGCGGAAGCAGCCCTTCCCGCAGCGCGAGCAACCGAAGTGCGCTGCAGGAGCACCCGCAAGCCTCAACAGCAATCCAGCAACAAGAGCAAAAAAACTGACTTTGTGGATCAGCGACACTGCATTGCCAACAGTGCAGGGCCCTGCATAGCCACACATCGACATATAAACAAATCTCTATACATGTGCATATATATAATTAATAGGAATACATATAATATGCATACGCATATATAATATATAGCTACACGCACATACACATACAAACACCCCAACTCGCAAGTCACATACCCAGACAGGCATGCAAAAGCATGCACATATGTATATATATATATTAGCACGCATGCGAAGCCTGCTTTAAGGAGAAGCTCTAAACAGCAATCTGCCCGTAAGGTGTACGCTCGCACGCATGCATTGACGCTTTGAGCAGCCAGCTACGCACTAAACAAGACCCAAGCAGGCAATGCAATGCGTCTCCCGTCCTTCATGAGAGTGGCCCTCCCCACTTCCCCCAATGCTGGAACACTACTCTTAAATGCGTGACTCGATGTCTCAATCAATGTCTGCTTCTCGCTAGGGAAGGAAGCACGTTCCACGTGTGTGCCCTGAAGACACTTAACGGTGCGGTGATGGGTGAGGGTGTCGCTGCCGGTTAGGGAAGTAAGTCTCCTGTTTACCACGCTGGCCTGTGAGGATTATAGGGTCGTCAAAGTCTGGTAAATGTCCTTTTTTCTTTGTGTATACTCTGCAAACCTCCAAAGAGTCGAAGACCTGCCGCTTTAGCCGTTCCAAATTCCAGCCAGCCTGGCTGCTGACAACAACGCTGTTCGGTCTGCACACACGTAGCAACACCCCCCCAAAACACAAAAAATCACACACAGACAACCTCCCATCACTCACACACAAAAATGCAACAACTCACATACATGCAGAGTGAGGGAGACAGCCAGCTATGTATATATATATATATATATATGTATATATATACGCACACATACATACATACATACACGCACACACACAAATACACTCCTGGTCCCGCAGATTTAATGGAAGGAGAAGCTCTGATGAATTATCATACCCTACTAATATATGCGCTCGCATGCATGCACTGACGCTTTGAGCAACCAGCTACGCACAAACAAGACCCAAGCCGGCAATGCCCCTGCCGTCCTTCACCAAGGCAGATTCTGCCCTTCTCCTCTTCCCCCCGTCCTGAAAAGCTGAAACGCTACTCCAAAATGTGTGATGAGATGTCTCAAGCAATCTTTAATTGCCTGTAGGGAGGGAAGCACGTTTTGTGTGTGTCCAGTGGGGTCCTCCGGTGTGAATATACAGCGTACCACACACGCATGCCCCCTATACTTCAAACATTTTCGACGCCCACATACAGCACCTTCCGCAAGCAGCACTGTTGACTGCGTATTCAGCCGTAAACAGGACACCCAGCGCCACAATGGGGAAACCTCACCGCCTGGCGATCTCATCAATTTCTTTGATCGAAAGCATGTCAACCTTATTGTAGACATAGATGCACTTGAGGAACTTCCTATTCCCCTCAATGACGTCAATGAAATCGTCGGTCTAAAGAAACGCGCGCAGCAAAGGGTTTCTTCAAGACCCTCCTTAAAAGAAGAGAAACGCAGCTTCGAATGCCGGATAGATATATATGTCTATGTGTACATAGAGTATACATAGACATATATATATAAATGCGTTTTGGGTAAGTGCTAACGCCTTGCGTTGTGGTCTTTCCTTACACTGCAGTCCTCACGCACAACGATGTCTGCATTGAATATTTTGTATTGGTGCAGAATATGCTGCACTGCCTTTTGCGTCAGCTGCATCCGGCGAGTTCATAGCACAACACAGCCTAAGCATCTCTAAACCCCAAACCATCGGCAAAAGGTCACGACAGACACCCGAAAGAAGCGGACGTCTTGAGGGCACCTAAAACGAAGCCGCTTCCACGACAGCAAGAAAACTCCCAAAGGCCTACGCTTTTGCAGCGGCATTTTTTCGAGCAGCAGCCTTTTTCGAGCAGCAACTCTGAAAGCCTCCTGACATACCTCAGATTGCGGTACAATGAAGTTGACGGTAAGGCCTCCTGCCTTCTTTGGCTTGAAGCTGACCTGCAGCCCACAACAGCACGACGCTGTATTCGCCAAGAGAAATCTCGCAAGTGCCGCTCCTGAACCACTTGGACAGCATTTACGCAAGCCTCTCAAAACCGCTACAGCGCGCAATTCTATCCTAAAAGACGCACATTCGCGGGCTTCTTGTTCAGCCGAATACCAACAGCTTCAAGTTCCCTGCAAGTCAAGGCAGCAACAGCAACAGCATCACCGCGTTCTGAAGTGCTGTCCATGTTGCCGTTCGAGCCATGGAGCTGCTCTCCTACGTGACTACGCGATGCCTGCAGCCGTAAGCAGCAGTCCTAAGCAGCAGCCCCAAGCAGCCTCCTGCAGCCATGCATGCGTGCAGTTTCAGCAGCAGAAGCTGCAGCAGCACCAACAGCAGAAGCTGCAGCAGCACCAACAGCAGAAGCTGCAGCAGCACCAACAGCAGAAGCTGCATTACTTGGTGAGGAGCCGTTGCTGAGTGTCGTCTTTCGTGCTGTCCAAAACCATCAAGACCAAATCGCAAGAGTGTGCAACGGCAATCACCTGACACCCCATAAACACAAAAACATCTCCCTAAGGGTTGCGGCTATTTTTGGAGAGCGCGTAAGACGAAATTAAAGTCCTTCAGCAGCCGCTCTGCGTCTGCCTGCCTCTGGAGAAGCTTGAAGGTTGGACAGCAGCAGCCGCTCATCGGATTACAGCTGCGGCGAGCATCGCAGCAAAAAAGACTGTCTTTTAAAGAGTCTTCCCATGACGCGTCTGTGCCCTTTCCTACCTGTCTACCTCTGCCCCTGCCCTCCGCCGCCCCTTCAATAATTCCAGGAAGGTCCAACAGCTGAATCTTTGTGTTCTCCACGAAGAAGACGGACGGCTGGCAGGTAAGCGTGGTGAACTCGTAGGCTCCTGCGTGTGCCCACATCGAGCGAGAGAGAGAGAACGAGAGGGCGAAAGAAAGAAGGGGAATACAAGTCGATTGAGCGCCGCAGTCTGAGCGCTGGAAAAGCCCACTACCTCTTTCCATCTTGCTGAAGAATTCTACGCTCTCCCCGCACAAAAGGATTTAAAGTGCTCAGCTATTTTTGCATGGTGTATGCTCCACCCCCCCAACCAAACCCCCGCAAAAGACGGACAGAGAAGGCTGCATGCAGAAAAGGCCTCTCCCCCAAGAATTTCGTGCAACGTCGCTGGCTGTCAGGGGAATTTTCAGTGGAGCTGCTGCTTCCTGTACGCCATCCCTTACCTACGGCACTCCGTTCTTTTGCAAGGCCTTCTTCTGCGGCTTCTTCTGCCGTCAGAGAGTTCATCAAAGTGCTTTTGCCAACAGACGGAAATCCAATAAGACACACGCGTGCATCACCCTGCCGTGCAACATCAAAACCTTCTCCCTTGGCGCCTCCCGTGCTTTTTGATCCCTCTATCAACTCGGACCTGAGAATACGAACGACATACCGCCAGACGCCCCCATATGTTTCCGCGCATCCCCATGTCTGCATCTATACGCCTCCCTTTCGCGTGTAGATCTCGTCAAATTAGCGCGTCTTCAAGCGGCGAGGTCAAAGCCGCAGCAGCTCGCAAAGGCTCGCATCTATCGAACCATAAGTGTGTGTATGTGTATGGATGTACTTAAGTGCGTACGCATATACGCATAGGTATATGTATGTATATGGGTATATATGTTTATGGGTATGTATGTGTATGGGTGTGTATGCTCACCGAAGCCTAGCGAGTTTGGCCTTCAGGCCGCCTAGGTGGTGCTGCACATGAAATATGCCACCATATATGTATATATAAATATATATATATGCATATATATATATATAGACATATGTACGTATATATGTATACACATGTATACATACATATATAGATACATACAGATGCATGCATACATCTATTTTTGTACATATAGGCGTACAGACCCTTGGACCTCGTAATCCCTACACAAAAAACGACTCTTTTTTCTTCCCCGAACGTGACGTGCTGCAACGCAGGAGCTGCGCTACACTGTTGTTTATCTCTTTCCTTTCCCTTCTCCCCCCACGTCACGTACTTCCGTTGCTTTATTTTTCTGTGTTCGTGAAATCTCGAACTCAATCTCTTTGATGCGCTGAGCACACAAAAGACAGCATCAACCCGCATGAGGAGAAGACGCTGGCCCCATCGATTGCTGACGCTACATACGCATGCCATGAAACCGCTAGAAAGACTGCAGAAAGCTACAGACATACACACGCACATGCGCACAAATCCTACGAACGCCTGTTCCGTTGACAGAGCCGCAGCCGTATATACACAAGGCAACCTGTGGCGACGCGTCGAGGCAACGGAGAAATCCGAAACGGCAAAGTATGCAGAGCGACATATGCAGCAGAGAGAACCACAGATGCAGAGAGAAGAGAGATCAAAAGGAGAAAAAGAGAGAGAGAGACAAGACAGCAAGAGACACCAAGCAACAACAGCGTGTATGCACGTTTGCTGAAGGCTTTGAAAGCGACAAATGAAGAAGCAGAGAGAAAGAGGGCAAGAGAAACAGAGAGAGAATAGGGCAAGAGACAACAAACAACAACAAAAACGTGTATGCTGCGTGTGTGTCGAAGCCATTTTCTTCGGAAAGCCTTTCCAGGGTACATGCGCCACACGGCATCCTCTGCAAAGCGTGTGTATACAAAGCAGGAAGAGGAAGGCAGCCGCATGGGCAGGGAGATGGGTGACAGAATGCATCAGCCTGGGCTTGCGGACCTCCAAGATCCCCATCTTCGGATGCTTCTGGTGTATCAGGAGAACAGCCGACGCATGCGAAAGCCTTAAGAATCCCTACTGGAGGCAGCGAGAGACGGAGACAAAGAGCGCGAGGGAGAAAAGGTCGCTCCGAAGAGAGAGGAAGCCTGATGGATCCTTAGGAGAGACAGACTGGGAAAGCGAAGGAGCAGCGCAAACGTCGAGGGTCCACCTGCCGCTGCAGGTGAGGTTGCTACCAAGCAGTGTAGGTTTCCTTGTGGTGTTTCCACTACGTTCGAGAGTGCACTGCGTGAGCCCTCATACGGCCAGCCTGGTCTTCATTTCGTTGATGGCACTGCTACAGACCTCCCTCGCTCTGCGAGATGCTCAAAAAACGGGGTAAAAGGAAAGGCAAGAAATACGCTGCCTGGCAACGCAACAACAGCAGGAGCAGCGATCGCCTTGCGTGGCTTCCACTGGTTGCACCACCCTTTACCCACCGCCTTTTCCCGAAATGACTGCTTTTTTGCGAAAAAACGCCTTCCCAATGCATCCGCGAAACGCTCCGCCGGCTGGAAAGGCAAGGCAAGGGCCCCCCCCTTGCAGCGGGGGGCCCCCCTCCCTGAAGGCTCGCCCCTCCCCGCCATCGACCCCTGTTGACAACAGCGAGGAGAGACGACACCTTCCTCCTAAACTGCAGCTTAGCGGTCTGGAGTGACGCTGCATGAAACGTTTTGAGCTGCGTAGGAACATTTTGAGCTCCCAGTGTGCGAGAATTGTCTAACCCAACGCCACCTCGCAGCTCTGTGTTGCAGCCTGCCGACTGACTCGACAGTTGCTGCTGCGTTTCATTGCATTCCCCCTGCCCCTCCTCCTCCTGCTCCTTCTTCTTCTATTGATACTTTCGATGAAACGCTGAAGCTCGTCACTTCTGCGAGGCAGACTCGAGGCGGGATACTGGCATCCGCAGTGCCGAGCGCCCTCTCGACGTCTATGTCCTCGACTTCTCCACTAGCGTCCACTGCAGTTGCTGCTGCATCTGCTGCTGCTGTTGCTGCAGCTGCAAGGCATTCCCTTTGGCTTGCATCCAAAGCAGCAGCGCCAGCAGCAGGCTTACCCCCAAGGCTGCGAATCGATCGCCGCTTCCTGGGGTGTACTGCAGCAACACGGCACCACGTCTCAACAACAGCAGCAACAAGAGCAACAAGACCAACAGCAGCAACGAAAACAGCAACAACAGCAGCAGCAGCAGCCCAGGCCGCTTCTTCTTCTTCCTTCCCAGCAACTGCAAAGACAGCGGATGCAATTGATGGTTCTGAAGCTCCCCCCAGTGCCTATGGCCGTCCTTCTCTTGCAGTTGCGTTGGCAGCGCTTGCACGTGCCTGTCAACGGCAGAAGCAGCAACAGCTGCAGCAACAGCAGCAGCAACAGCTGCAGCAACAGCAGCTGCTCCTGCTGCAGCAAGGGCACCAGCTTTTTGCTGCCGCAGCATCAAAAGCAGCTCTCGCAGAATGGAATCTGCAGCAGCAGCAGCAGCTGCAACAGCCGCAGCAGCAGCAGCACCGGGCGTCTGTGCCGGGGCCCCTTTTCTGCTGCTTAGCGCTGCATGCATGCGCAGCATTCTTCGCGTTGCCTCAGATGCAACAGCTTCGAGCATGCTCACGCAGCGCCGACCTTGCAGCTATTGCCCACTCTATTCATGCCATCTTAGGAGGGAACCCACTCAGCAGCAACAATACACGCAGCAGCAACAATTCACTCAGCAGCAACAGTACACTCAGCAGCAACAATACACGCAGCAGCAACAATTCACTCAGCAGCAACAATTCACTCAGCAGCAACAATTCACTCAGCAGCAACACTGCATCAAGCAGCAACACTATATTATCAAGCAGCAACAACTTACGCAGAGACAACAGCAGCCAAAACATTGCACGGGAAACACCTCCAGTAGCACTCCAGGAGGCTTCTCTCTATGCTGTTTATCAACAAGCCCCAGTACATCTGCTTTGTGCGCATCTCACAGGGCAGTGCATGCGGTTGTTGCTGCCTCAGCTCGGCTGTTGCAGCAGCAAGCACGCAGCAACAGCCTTGACGGCGCTCTTGCGCTTGCTGCCGCATCTTCCTGAAACAGCGGAAGCACAAGCGGAGCGTGAGCAACAGCAGCAGCCACAACAACAACAACAGGGTAGGCAGAAGCTGCAGGAGCAAAGCCTGCAGCAGCAGCAGCATGAACTGCCTCCAGAGCGGCCGTCATTTGATGCCCCTCCCTTTCGACGCTCCTCCGTTGCTGCTGAGGTAGCGCATGCAGCCTTCTCAGAGCATGCGATTGCCTCAAGGGAAGCAGGTTTGCCGAGAGCAACAGGTGAAGCAACGTGTGTGACAGCTGCCTCGCACAGGTTCCGCAGCATGCCGTCTGTGTGGAGCAGCAGTCGGGCAGAACCCTCTGCGGCTTTTGTCTTCTGGCTTATTGCAGCTGCTCTAGAGCGTGCCTTGCTGCTGCTGAGGCGCACGCGGAAAAGTATGAGCAGCAGCGGCAGAATCAGCAGCAGCAGCGGCAGCCGACGAACGCTTACTTCAGTGGTGGGAGCTGCTGCAAGAACCGCCTCGGCAGCTGCTCTCGCCACTTCTGCAGGCAGCACTGCAGCAGAAGCAGCTGAGGCAGCACTTGCGGCTGCAATAGAGCTGCTACGTGCCCCTGATCTGAAGGCGCTGCTGCTGCTGCAGCGAGATGAACTCAAAGCACCCGACTTGATGGTGCTGCTGCATGCTGCAGCACAGGGACGTCTGCAGCATCCGGAGGTAATATAACCGCCTTCCTGTTGGGCTGCTACCGCTGCTGCCTTCTCACTTTGTTTGCGATTCGCTACAGCGGCGAAATATACTCTTGTTGCATGCGTGTGTGTGTTATACTCTCTGCACGTCCATGCCCGCCCGTACCTGGCGCAGCTTCTGCTTCTGCCGCTCCTAATTTGCGCTTTTGCTCCCTCCCTGCTCCCCTACGTCTGCACTCAGCTGATGCGTCTTCTTCCCGAACTGCTGCTTCAACACCTCGAATTCGTAAGGCCAGCGCAGCTGCTGCTTCTTCTCCACTCCTTAAGCAGGCTCCGCGTCTCTGGTGCGGCGTTCTCGGGAGAAGCAGCATTTACAGAATCAGCTCGAGTAGAAGCAAGAAAAGCAGCTGGGTTAGAAACGAGCGAAACAGCAACAGGAGAAGCAAGAGAAACAGCATCAGGGGAAGCAAGAGAAACAGCATCAGGGGAAGCAAGAGAAACAGCAACAGGAGAAGCAAGAGAAACAGCAACAGGAGAAGCACTCCGAGAGGTTCACTTTTCAGACGTTGCCGTGCAGGCCGCTCCCAAAGTCTTGCGCTTCTTGCAGAGTGACCAGTGTAGCCTTCGAGACGCAGCAGTTGCTTCGACTGTTTATTCTTCGTGCGTTTCAGGAGTTAGCTTGTAATGCCACAGCAGCTTGCAGCCGTATGGCTGCTACTCGCGCTTTTGTAGCTCCTGCTGCTGCGGCGTCTGGTTTGTTCTGCGGTTGCTGAAGATGTAGTCTCTGCTGCTGCTGCCTGTTGCTGCTGCTTCTGTTGTTCGTACAGCGTGTCGGTTCGGGGGGCGCCTGGCGCGCCATATGCCGCGGCGATTATTGCAGCCGCTGCTGCACGCCTTCCCGAGCAGCTGCAGCAGCAGCACGCGATGCAGACGCATAGCAGCCTTTTGAGCCGGAGCTGCGCGCGAAGGCGACTTTTCGACTTGCTCACGCTGCTTCGCGTGCTGGTGGAATGGAGAGTCTCAACCCCTGGCCTCTGGGCGCCTCCTCTTTTGAGAAACTTTGCAGCAGCTCTGGCAGCTCCCGCAGCAGCGGGGGAGCGCCCCCCCGCTGCTGCGCTGTCTTTGCAGCACCTGGTGACTGCAGCAGCGGCTCTCGTGCAGCTGCAGCTGCTGCAGGCGTCTTTTTGCTGCTGTGCGCTGCCAGCAGAGACAGCCTGCGTAGAGTTGGACTCCCGTGTAGCTTCGCGTGCGCCTACCTTGCGCATCCTTCCATCCCTCGGTGTTTTCGCAGCTTCCCTGGCAGCTGAGCTGCAGCAGCAGGGCCTAGCACACCCCTCAGGCAGCTGGGCATTGTTGCAGCAACAACAGCAGCAGCAGCAGCAAACGACCGTCACCAGCAGCGGCAGCGGAGGCACACGCAGCGCGAAGGCCGAATTGACACACGCTATTGCCTTCTGCTGGCAGCACTTAGCCTCTGTCGCCACTGCAAATGCAAAGGCAGAAAATGCAGCAACAACAGCGGCGGCAGAAACAGCGGCTGCTAAAACTGCACCAACAGCTACAGCAAATACAGCAGCAGCAGACGCAGCAACAACAGCGTACACTTCTCCAGAAATGCAACAAAACCAACAGCTATGGGCCGTCCTAATGCTCTGTCTTGCTGCCGGTGGCGTTTCCATGCCGTCTGCAACAGTTGCCTGCATCGTGAGCTCTCGGCTCTATCGGCAGCAGCAGCTTCTGCTGCTGCCTTCAGGGGTTCTTCTTGTAGAGGCTCTGTCAGACAGTCGCTCATGTTTGAGTGTTAGGTGCTTCCACTGTTTTTCGCAGTAACCGCTTAAAAGTGAGAAGTTGGGCGTTTCTTGTGCTTGTTGCCGCAGCGACAAGCGGCGTGGAGGGACATGTCTGCCATGTCTACAACGCTGCTAATTCAGCATCTGAGGGCTGTAGCGCTGGAAACGGAGTATTCCCTTCTGGATTTCTCGGAGGAGCAGCATCAAGAGCAGCAGCACGGGCAGGAGCACGAGCAGCAGTACGAGCAGCCGCACCAGTGGAGCAGCAAGAGCAACAGCAAGAGGAGCGACCGGAGCAACAGCTTCCAATGTAGCAGCAGCGGTAAAGTTGCAGCTGCTATATTGGAAGCGGAGTTCCAGAAGAGGTGTTTAAAGCTTCAGCAGAAGGCGGAAGTTGCTGCATTACTATGGCGTATTTCGAACACTGACGGCGCCATGCGGTGAGTCGCAGCGGCCGTCCCTCCTGCCGGCAGCTTCCTCTGTTTCGTGTGGTGTATATATATATATATGTGTGTAGTTGCAGCTGCGTTTCTGTTTGTGCTGCCCCTGCAGCGGCGCTGTGATTTTAAAGTGCTCTAGCTGCCGGTCGGCGTGCGTTGCAGCAGTACCTTGCATGGTGTCGATTTATGCGTCTATGCAAGATGTCGCTGGCAGCTACTGCTGCCACACATTCCCGCTCCCTGCTGCTCCTGATAATGGCCTAGTCTACTCCTTCTTGTATTTGTGCAGAAGCTCTGTTTTTTGAGGCTTGCTTCAGGGTTTTTCGCGGTGCCTCTGTATCCCCCACACCGCGGAAGCGTTCCACTGCAGCGCCTCCTCGCGCAAGGGCTGACGTTTTCACGCCAGCGCCCCCTTGTTCTGCCGCTGCTGTTCGCCATGCAGTGTGGGAACTGCCTTCCCCTACAGGCAAAGCGGGAGCGGCTTTGAAAGGCAAACAGGCCGCACCCAAACTCCTGGTGTTGCCGTCTGCTTCCTCTTCGCGCATTGGCGAAGAAGCAGAGGTAAGCCGAGCAGACACGGCGAGGGTTCTCCTGCGTGCCTCATTTGCCTGCTGTCTGCAGTATCACGAGCTGCCTGCTCTTTGCGTGCCGCGAAAGCCTTGCTTTTTCACGCAGGCGCTGCACTTTGCGCGCTGCCTGAACAATCCTTGCTGCCTCAGGACGCGTTGGAAGAATTGCTGCCGTGCGGCAGCAGCGTGCAAAGTGCGAGCAGCAGGCAGCAGCAGCTGCTGCTGCAGCGGCATCCGCAGCAGCCACAGCAGCCGCGCCGGCAGAAGACGCCGACGGGAACATTCGCAGCAGGAGCTGCTGCTGCAGCGGCATGCATTTCACAGGAACCCTCGTGCAGCATCCCTCCCCAGCCGAAGCTTCTGCGGCAGGAAACGCTGGCTGCGTCTGCCGTTACAGCAGCCGCAGACCGGGTTGCACGGAGAGTTGTTGTTCCCGAAGCGCTGTTGCTGCTGCTGCTACCTCCCTCCGCAGCAGCAGCAGCAGCAGAGGCTCCTACAGCACAGGACGCTCTGGAGAAGCGGGTGGCTGCTGCTACTCCGGCAGCAAGCGCAAGCATCACGGACGGCCCTCTTAATCGAAACAGCAGCGCTTGCCACAATCTTGACGGTGGGAAGAGCATCTACGAATTTAGCGGCGCCTCCAGCAACAGCTGCAGCAGCAAGGTTCTTTGTGTGCGTTCCCTGCGCTGGTGCGGCAGCCGCTGGTGGGAAGTGCAGAGGCGCTTCGAACTTCGGCGCTGGATTGCTGCTCTCAGGTGCGTTTCCTTCTTGCATGGGAGGCCTGGTGTTTTCGGTGTGTGTTTCCCTTTTCATGCTGCTGCTGCTTTATCTGGGTTGACGCGCGCTGTTGCAGTGGGGTAGCATTCGGCGGGTTATGGCTGTCTGTTCACAGGGATCGGAAAGATCTGATTGAGCAGCTCTTCGTGATGATTCAGCAGCAGCAGCCGCGGCAGCGGCTGCCAATAGGTGCTGCAGGGGAAACACACTGTAGGTAGTGGGAAGGGCGGGGTGAGAAAGCGCGAAAGGGGAAAGAAGAGGCGAAGTTGGCAGAGCAGCATCTGCTGCTATCTCTGTCCACTGGCGTCTTGAGCATGCAGAGGTCGCCCTTATTGTCGGATCCCTGCAGGCTTGCGCGTTTTCTGTGCTGTTTCCTTCATTTCCTGCGACCCTCTGGCCCATGCGCATGGGTTGCTCTCTTTTGCCGTGTGCTAATGTGCCTCAGCTGCTCGCATGCTCGCTCTCTGTGGAGCGCTTGTGAGCGCCCTGCACGATGCAGGTGCGGCTGATGCCTCTTCGCTCCAGTGCAGCAGCAAATGCGGCGCGGGAGTGCCACCTGCCCCTGGCAGCAGCAGCAGTTGCTGCTGCTGCTGTTGCTGCAGAAAGCGTTGCAGCACGAGCAGCCGTGTCTGTTTTCTGTGGGTGCTGCGCTGCAGGAAGCTCCTTGGGTATGCCTCTGGCCCTCTCCCTTGAGAGCAGTCCTAGGGAGGCCTGGTATCAGCAAGGGCAGCAGCAGCAGCAAGAGCAGCTGCTGCTACAGCGCTTGCTGCTGCGCTGCAGTCCATGGCAAGCGGCACCAGGCGACGCTCCGGCAGCAAACTCTCTCGTCTTGCGGCGGACGGTTGTTGCTGCTGACGCCAATTATGTGCTAGACTGTATGAAAATTGATGTCGCTCTCCAGCTGTTGCGGCCTACGTCCTCTGGAAGTAAGAGCAGCAGCAGTAGCAATGACAGCAGCAATAGCAGTGGCAGCAGCAGTAGCAGCAAAACGGCGTGTTGTGGAGACGGCTCCCGACCATTTCGTCGCATCGCCCTTCTCCTGCGAGATGCCAGCAGTAACTGCAACGGCAGGGTTGCTGCAGCTGTGTCAGAATTAGAGTCTTTGCTTGCCGCACTCCGTGGCTGGGAGGTATGCGAGCTATTGCTGCCTCTCGAGACTGGCCCTCTGGCCAGGGGGCTGTCTACCGAGGCGGGTACTGCCCTGCTAGCTTTTCTGCAGGGGGAGGCTGCCGGCTACACGCAACGCGATGCGCAGCCTTAAACCACAACTAATGAGGTCCCCCTATTTTCCGAAGCACTGGAGAGTGCGCCTTTTCATTTGCCATGCCTCTGCCTCTAAGGGGGCACAAACCCTGTCTAAAGGGGTTGTTCGTGGGGTTGTAGTGGACGGCCCTTAAAACGCAGGTGTCTCCTCCGAGATGCATTCACCTCTAAGAGACCCCTTGACGGCGTTTCGTGCCAGGGGCGAAGCAGCAATCTCTGGAGGCCTGAAAAGGGGGGCATGGGGGGCGCTATGGCGAAGAGTCTGAAAACTGTCTGCCGTCGATACAGCTGGCTGCTTGGCGTCTGCTGAGCGCGCCAGGCCTAAGAGACCGCCCCCGGTATATTGCGGCTTGTGGCAGCAGATAGAGCGACACAGAGAGGCAGATAGAGAGAGAGGCACAGAGAGAGGGAGCGGCTATTGGCGACTTGCTTGTAATCAGCGCATTCTCAATGTCCATTGGACTCCAGAAAGGGAGTGACGCTGACATTCTCTGTCTGCCAGGAAAGGAGGACCTGCTGGCTCTTTACCAGTGGCGCCCCTAGAGGTTCGTCCTCTCCCTTCGCTGCTCCTGCTGCTCGGGTGTCAGTAGGTATCACGCGCTGGCTGTACACCCCAGCAACTTCAGTTCCCGTGGGGAAGCGCCAGAGACCCTCGCCCTGCGGCTTGCTGTCGCAGAAGGTTCCCGAGTAGCTTGTCTTGTCTCTCCAGATCCAGTCACCCCGTACGAGCTGTCCAGCCACCCATTCGCCCTTCAGCTGCAGCACCACCACCAATACCACCAACACCACCGTTAGCAGCAGCAGCAGCGGATACAGATTCCACAGCATCTTTTTGCACCCTAGGCACCCAGGAACTGCCTCAAACGGGGAAGAGAGAAAAAATACGAGCGCCAATACCGAGATCCCTACAAAGTGCCAAATCAGGAACATCTAAAAAGGTGTTTTTTTGCACTGAAACACATGAGCGTAACGCTGGCTCTCTACCCAAACTAGCGACAAAAAGTAGAATTCAGGTGCTGAAAGCCACAAACAACGTCAGCGTGTGCTGCTCCACTGTATTTATATCTGTTTGCGCGCCTTTTGTTTGTTCTGGCCAAACGTGTACGTTCCCTGGCCGTTGTAGAGCCCCTTCTTCCATTCCCCAAAGTAAAAGTCGCCGTTCGCAAAGCGGCGGACGCCCATGCCCTCCCGCTGTCCGCAAAGAAACTCTCCTGGGATGGAAGCAACGGCAGAATACGCAGCTGTATCCGCATTACCAATGTAACAACAACAGTTAAAACAACAGCAAAAACAGCGACAGGAGCAACAGCAGCACCAGGTGCAGCAGCAACCACAACAGCAACAGGAGCTGCTGCTGCAGCAACAACAAAATATACAGACGACATTGGATGGTTCATTCTGGCTTGCCCCCATGCAGTCAGGTTTGCTTGTGTGTGGCAGCAGCTGCAACAGAACCCTCCTTCCCCCGCCTTAAGGCTGCTTCGCGGAACGGGAGCAGGCAGCTCGGCTCTCCCTGAATGGAGGCGGCACCTCGCGCTGTATCAGCAGGGGCAGCTGCCGCCGCCACTCCACGGAAGCAACTCTTAGCCTACGTCCCATTGAGATTAGCCTCGGCGCGGCTCTGTATGAGCTGTGGCCGCATGGCTCTGGCCCCCTGCATAGCGAGCTTAGCAGTATGCACCGCACCATGGAAGAAGCCTCCGTCGGAAAACGTGAGTCTGCCCTTCCCGTGCCGCTTCCCATTCTTGTAGAGGCCTTCGTATTTATCACCATTTGGAAACGCGTAGGTGCCATAGCCCTCGCGGCGGCCTTCTACGAGCTCTCCTTCAAAAGTGGAGCCGTCCGCATACACCGCGCGCCCCCTACCACTAAACTTCCGAGGGCTTTCTACAGGTGACCCCGAGTCGGTAGTGAAAGACACATAGATAGCAGACTTGTCAAGGGCCTCGTTCGCCATCGTGGCTGCCCCTTTTTTCGGCGCGTGGCGCAGAGCTGGGGTTACAGCTACCGCCCTCTTTGCCTAAGAAGATGGTGCGGCTGTTGCGGTGTCAGTACGCACTTTTTATCAAGAGGCTTCTGTGGTTTCCTAGGACTTGGAGCATTCCAGAACATCAGTTTCTTTGCCACACTTGCCTGCCTGTCTGCCTACCTACAAATGGATACAGGGGACGGACATACCGGCTGCTCTCGCCACAATGCGGAGGTCGTCACCTGCCCCCAGGTGTGCGCACACTACGGACTGCGTTTTCTCTCGCTGGCGGGAAGCGGGAGCCGTTCTTATGAAGGCCCCTTTCCGCGAATCTGTGCACTCCAGAGAGTTCTCTGGCGGTCTGCTTCAGGCCGCCGCTACGCGCTTAGATACACAGCTCCTGCAAGTGGAGGGCATGCACGAAAATCGGCATGACCGCTTTCCCCCCAATCCTTCCGTAAGTATGTACTTTTGGGTGCAGCTCTACTTTTTGGGAGGCAGTTTTCGACGGGGTGTAAAGGAATATGATGCGCTTTGGGAACTCCTAAGGAGGACTCTGGGAGCGCTACAGCCGCAGCCGACGGCTTGGAGCGGCGGAGCGGGCTGATGTCTGATGAGATTCTTGCGTTTCCTGCGTTTTCTACTGAGCGGACTCTTGCAGAAATTTCAACATTGACTTACCTGAGTACTTGATTCTAGCAGGCAAGGCAAAATAAAGCCGCTGGTTCTGCAGCAGAGCAGTACGCGCGGCAGCAGCAGCAGCAGCAGCAGCAGCCGCAGCGACGGGCGTAGCTGCTACGCATGCGCCTCGCTTACGTCCGAGTTCCCAATTTAGCGCCAGCCAGCAGCTGCGTGAAGGGGCTTCTTTAGGCATTCAGCAGACAGCAAAAATATATGCTCTGCAAGCTTGAGGCTGACGGACGCGCGCACTCCGTGTAGCTGCTCATGCGACTTTTCGCAAGGTCCTTGGTGGGAGCTTCTTGCAAGCATGTCGGAAAGCGCTGAACGCGTCTACAGCAACAGCAGCAACAGCAGCAGCGTTTTGCATGCGTTATATACACCCTTGCGAGGACACATTGAGACCAGGAGCGGCAACAGCTGCAACCGCAGCAAGAGCAACCACAACAACGGTGACACCCTCATCACACATCAGAAACGGCAGAGTCGTCTTCTTCTGCAGCAGCAGCTGCCGCTGCTGACGCTGCTGCTGCTGCTGTCCGCCCTTGCCGGCAGCTGCAGCTAAGACTAAGGCTGTCTCTCTAATGAACGCGTCCGGTGCAAGCAGTCACAGCCTTGACGAGAATAGCGTGCTCAGCAACACAAGCAGACAGAGTAAGCACACATCGCAAAGGAGCAGGAGCTGCTGCAGCGAAAATAGCATTCCCAGCCCCCTCAACTGCAAGCTACGCTGCAGCAATGAACATGCTGGTGTCAAAAATAAAGAGGGCAGCCTGCAACCCTCTGCTCAGTCCTTTGCATGCTCGCGTGTATCTGAGAAGGATGTAGGTGCAGCTTCAGCAACGACATCCTCTGCACCCGCAGCAGAAGGCTGTGCTGCGCAGACAGCACTAGAAAACACGGCAGCAGCACAAGAGACTGCTACAGCAGCAGAAGCAATTGTTGCAGCAGCTGAAGCGAATGTTGCATCAGCTGAAGCGAATGTTGCATCAGCAGAAGCTTCTTCAGTGGAAATTTCAGCAGAAGTGAATGCTGCAGCAGCAGAAGCTTCGTCAGTGGATAAATTAGCAGAAGAGACTGTTGCAGCAGCACAAGAAACTGCTGCAGCAGCACAAGAGACTGTTGCAGCAGCAGAAGCTTCTTTAGTGGAAATTCTAGCAGAGGCGAATGTTGCATCAGCAGAAGCTTCTTCAGTGGATAAATTAGCAGAAGAGACAGCTGCAGCAGCACAAGAGACTGTTGCAGCAGCAGAAGCGAATGTTGCAACAGCAGAAGCTTCTTCAGTGGATAAATTAGCAGAAGAGACAGCAACAGCAGCACAAGAGACTGTTGCAGCAGCAGAAACGAAGGCTACAGCCCCAGAAGCTTCTTCAGTGGATAAATTAGCAGAAGAAACAGCAACAGCAGCACCAGAGACTGTTGATGCAGCAACAACGTTAGCACAAGAGACTGTTGATGCAGCAACAGAAGCTCCTCCAGTGGACAGATTTGCACGAGAGAGTGTCACTATTTTCGAAACCCCTAGGGCATCAACGTCTGCGGTAGATGAGGATGATGTCGCAGACGAGACGGAGTTTTCAAGGGCAGGAGCGGCAGCCAAACCTCTTGCTGCTGCTGCTGCAGCTGTAGCTGCAGCTGCTGCTGCTGCTTCCTCGTTTAACAGCTCCGCTAGTAGCACTTCGGAGCTTTTAGCAGCTGCGCAAGGTGCAGCCGATGCAGAAATAGGTGTTCTATCGCGCACAAGCGCTGCATGTGCTACTGCAGAGCCTGAGTCAAAAGGGGGGAATGTGGGAGACACAGTCCTTTCATTCTTGATGCGGCAAAACGGCAGCCGCCACATGCACCAGCAACAACAACAGCAGCAGCAACAACAACACCAGCAGCAGCAACAGCGACAACAGCAACAACAACAGCAACAACAACAGCAACAGCAGCAGCAACAGCAACAACAGCCTCTCTTGTCGTCGGCAAGCCGCATGCTGCTCAGTGTAGGTAGGCGCATCGGCAGTGGGAGTATTGCAGCGGCGGAAAGTGCAGCAGCAGCAGCTGCCGCTGCTGCTGCAGCTGCCCTAGTTGGCGATACAGCTGGCTGTGCTCCAACTGCAGCAGCAGCAGCAGGTGGCTATGTTATACAGCTAGAACACGAACTGGCTGCCCTCAAGTATGTCTAATTCAAGACATGGGTTTTAGCCTAGCCATGCGTCTGCTGTTTCGTTGCTGTTGTTGTAGCATCGGTTACTATTTGGTTGCTGCATCTGTTGCTATGTGGTTGCTGCATCTGTTGCTATTTGTTTGTTGTATCTGTTGCTATGTGGTTGCTGCGTCTGTTCCTATTTGGTTGCTGCGTCTGTTCCTATTTGGTTGCTGCATCTTTTGCTATTTCGTTGTTGCATCTGTTGCTATTTGGTTGCTGCGTCTGTTGCTATTTGGTTGCTGCATCTGTTGCTATTTGGTTGTTGCATCTGTTGCTGTTTCGTTGTCGTATCTGTTGCTATTTGGTTGCTGCGTCTGTTGCTATTTGGTTGCTGCGTCTGTTCCTATTTGGTTGCTGCATCTGTTGCTGATGTTGCCTTTGGAGCGACTCCTGGTAATTATTCCATCGAGTTGCTCTATCTGCTTCTGCTGCTGTTGCTGCACGTTGTTTCTGCTTGAGTGCTGCTATGTTTCTGTTCGACAGGGAGCAGGTGAGCGTCTACAGGGAAGCTTTGCGGCATATGCCAAATGCAAAGAGGCCTAGGGAACCTGCCGCCTTCAACCTGGAGGATGCAGCAAAATGCTTTGTTGCAGCATTGCTCGCTAAAGGCATCATTCTTGGGGATGCAGCAGCTGCCACAGTCGGTACACCCCGTCCGCATGCATCGAGCGCCTGTGCTGCAACAGAGGGTGTAAGTCATGCGGCGGGGGGCAATTCGTCTTCCCAAGACAATGCAGCAGAAGACACAATGGCAGTGTCGCAGCAGCAAGAACCGGAAGGTAGGCTGCTAGCCGCCGTGGTGGAGGCGCTGGCTGAGTCTCTATCTACGCCCGTCGTTCCGCAGCAACAGCAATTGGAGCAACAGCAATTGCAGCAGCAAATGGAGGCAGCTAGGCAGCAGCACGAGACTGAACGTGTTTTGTTCCTTCAAAAGCTGCAGCAACAACAGCTGGAGGCGGAAAAGCAGCGCGATATAAACGAGCGACAGGCGAAGCAGATTGTACAGTGCGTATATTTTGTGCGTGGGGTTTGGTGCTTCCCTTGGCAGTTGTTCTTGCAGTGACACTTTTTAATTTCCGCTTCGTTCTATCGCAGCTTCTGGAGTAGTTGCTGCTTATGATTTGTGGATGCTGCTGCTGTTGCGACGCTGCCCAGGCTGACGGTAATGCTGACACAGATGAAGACAGAAGCAGATGAGCACAAGCAGCAGCAGCAGCAGCAGCAGCAGCGATTCCAGTCCGTTGAGCAGCAGCAAGAGGGGATGGCGAAGGAGTCTGAAGCAGCAGCAGCAGCAGCAGCAGCAGCAGCCAGGGCCCCAATGGCGGCAGCCGCAGGTTCGCCTGAGGATGAAGCAGCAGAAGCAGCAGCAGCAGCAGCAGCAGCAACAGCTCCCCTGCCATCTCGGCAGCAGTTCGAAGAGCTCTGCGATGCAGCAGCCGAGGCGTTTCGTCTTAAGTGTTCTCTCAGCGAGGTTGAGTCTCAGTTGCGTGAAATGCAGCTGCAGCACGCGGTAGGCTGGCTGGCACGCGGGTGCACTTTGCTGTTGCTGCTCCTGCTGCTGTCAGTATGTCAGTATATTGGGGAAGGCGCTTCCAGCCGCTTGTGCAGGACTGCTCCTCTTCGTGTTGGCTGTAATTCGTGCAGAGCCTTGCTGCAGAGCGAGATACGGCACGGGAGTCGCTACAGCAGGAGCAGGAGAGGCGTAGGGAGGAAGCACAAATGCAGCATCGATTGCAGCAGGAGCAGCAGCAAGAAGCGGAGACTCTGCGGCAGCAGTTGAAGGAGGTGCAGCAAGAAGCGGCTAGGGAACGGGAGGCGTTGCAAGAGCAGCTGCACAGACAGCAGGAAGAAGCCGAACGGCTGTTGCAGCTGAAGGAAGAAGCAGAAGCGCAGCTGCAGCGACAGCGAGAAGCCTCAGTTGCCCCCAGCACATCCAGCAAGCAGCGAGGTGTCTCTGCAGCATCTGAGGCGAAAGAACCTGCTGGATTTGCGGAGGGAGCTCTGACTCCCTCCTGCTGCAGCAGTACGCCACCCCTCTCGATACAAAGCGGCCTGGAGGTGTCTGGACACCCGGCGCACGAGCAGCTGCAGCAGCAACTGCAGCAGCAGCACCTTGCTGCTCTCCAGTTTGTCGTGTCATCGCAACAGGCTCTGCTGCAGCAGCAGCTGCACAGGCAGCAACAGAAACTCCGTGATCTTCGGGAGCTGTGTGCCAAAGAAAAGAAGCACCGCGAAGAGGTGCGACGCAGCCTGCTGTTTGTTGCCCCTGCTGTGGCTGCATGTAGAGAAGACATTCTTTAGAGCTGTTTCTGGCGGTTCATTTCGACTGTTGCAGGCTGAGGAACAAAGTCGCAGGCTGCTTGCTGCTGCCCTCGATCAGCAAGTGTTGCGTCTGCACGAGGATGGCTGCCTACACTCGGCGCCTTCGCCTCACTCGCCTTCCACCGGCAGCGGATATGCAGCATCCTTCCACAGACAGAATTCCAACGGCTCTCCAGCAGTTTCGAGCGGCGCTGCCCGCTGCTGCTCCCCTGAGTGTGAAGATATTGGGGGCTTTCAGCTGCAGATCCGTGGAAGACAGTGCGAGGAGCTGTCGCTAGTAGAGCAAGGGGTAGAGCTAGAGCAAGAGCTAGAGCAGGTTGATTCCGAGGAAGAGAAGCCTCAGTTGCTAGAGCGGCTGCGGCGGTTGCAGCACACCAACAGAAGTCTCTCTGCCGCACTTCGCGAATCGGTTGCTACAGAAGCCTCCCTCAGGGTTCGCATAATTATTGTCTGTTGCTGGAGGTGTACAGATGGAAGGAAGGGTGGAAGAACAGACGTCTTCCAACTGCCCGATGCTGCAGCGTTGAAGAGCGGCGTGTGATGCCGAGGGTGATGGGGAGTGCTGTTGCTGCTGCGGCAGGTTTGCGCATGCAGCCCGTCCTTACTGCCTGCGGAACCAAAAGGCAGTCGCTTTTGTGTGTGGCGCTGCGCTGCGCTGCTGTGGCTTCAGAGAGAATTGCAGCAAAAAACTCGAGCTCTCAGTGCCTTGTTGGATAGGCCACCGCATCACGCCAAGTATGAGAGGCGGGAAGTGCAGACATAAAGACGCCACGCTGACTTTATTGCGGATCAGGGGGAGGGGAGGAAGAAAGGGGTAGGAGGTGTGGGCTTTGCTCGCAGTTTAAGGATTGCAACACTGTTTGCAAGACTGTGCCTCTCTGCCTCTGCGTCTTAGGTTTTCGTGGTCGCTCGGCGGTGCAGACGTTGCGCAGCTTCGGCGGCTGCAAAACTTGCTGGAAGAAACACTCAGAGAGAACATTCGACTGCAGCAGCAGCAACAACATCAACAGCACCAGCACCAGCAGCAGTAAGGGCGGGGTTCGCCCTCCCCTAGGGTATTGCCATTGCCGCACTCTCTTTTTCTGTTCCTTTCCTTTGTTTATAGCCTTTCCTTTGCTTATAGCAGCAACACATGGCAGTGCACTCCCTCTTCTTCCCTTCCCTCTAGGCCCCATAGTTCAGGCCCGCTAGTGGGGCAGCGTTTGTAGGACCAACTACCCCGTGAGCACGCGTAGCTGCCTTCGGCTGTAGCCCACGACATGCTTTAGTTAAGGTATTTCTTAGAGGTGCAGCGGCTTAACAAAAGAGGAATTCACTTTTCCCGCAGGCAGGGAGGCCCTAGGCGCCTGGGTGGCGGTGCTAGCTGCCGGCCTAGTTCTTGCTCTCGAGTTGAGCGCCTTGGAAGAAGCGCACATTCCCCAGTGTCGAGAGGGGTGGAGGGCGAAGAAGAAATTAGGGGCGTAGCGTACAGTCTGGTGCGCGCAGGCTGTTAGGTCATTAGGTACTTGAAAGGGAAGTGAGGCGGCCCCGCCAGTCTTAAGAGTCTCATGCCGCGTATGGGCTAGAAGCGCTTTAGCCAGTCGATATATACATATATATTGGCGTAGAAGCTTTTTGGCAAGCAAGAATACACTGGAGAGCACAGAGACTTGTTGCCTTGAGCCTGCGGAAGATTCGCCTTTTCTCGCAATCTATTTAGCGAAGGCCTTCCCTAGAGGGCATTCGGGGGTTCCCTGGAGGGGAACGTGGATTAGACTCATTTTCCGCTGCTTTTCGCGTGTATGGTTCCTTTGAGAGCGTACACATTTCAGCATTTCTGGATCTGCGGAGGTCTGGTTCGTTGTTTGTACGGGGAAAAAGCGCCAAGTGCCTGGGGTGGTGATGAGAAACGCTTCTGTGGGGGTCGAGGGGGCCCGGCGTGACTTCGCGGCTGGCCTTGTCTGTGCACGCTCGCGGAGGTTGACTTGAGGGAGTCTTCTGTGCAGTTCGATTTTACATTTTGTGCAGAAAACGGCGTGGAGATTCCCAAAATGGCGGTTTCAGACGCTGCAGCCGTTGCCGCCTTCCCACCCAAGGTGCGTTAGCCAACATCGGAGGTAGAAGGGCTCCAGCCGAGAGCCCTTTACGCCCCCTCCTGTGCCTCCTCCTTTTTCTTTTTCCCTTTAATTGTGGAGCACAATGCCAATTGCCGGCGATTCGATATACCAAAATGAGGTTTGCGCCGCGCGCTGTGCGATTCACACGGCGTCCGAGCGGCAATCGCAGAGCGAAATGGAAGGCGGGATACGCATGTGCTTCTGTGTGTGTGTGTGTATGTCTGTCTGTGTGTGTGTGTCTGTCTGTCTGTCTGTGCGCGTGCAGCAGCAGCAACAGCAACAGGAGCAGCAGCAGTCGTTGTTCACCTTTGGCGCGGATCTCGCTCCGTTGTTGCAGGAGGCTGCAGAAGCCCTTCGTGGGCGCTCGGTGGTGTCTGTAAGCCTCATCAGCACTGCGGAAATCGCCGCTATTCTCCTGGCTGCTCAGAAGCTGAAGCGCCGGTTCGAGCGGGGAGACACCACCCTTCACCATGTGCTGCAGGTGAGCCAAGGCTTTCCTTTGCGCCTTTCACGGCTGCAGCGAGAAACGCAGGAAAATGCGAAAAAAGCGAAAGAACGATACTGCGGCCTGCCTAGCGCAGATCGGGAGCAGTAGGAGGGCGGTGTCAGCTATCTCAAAGCCTCAGACGCCTCATTACAATTTGTGGCGTTAGGGAAAAGTTGTTGCAACGGCCTTCTTCGAACCGAGCACCCGCACGCGCTGCTCGTTTGAGGCTGCAGCTCTCAGGCTTGGCGCTGGCGTGATCAGCAATGCCGATTTGAAGGTGAGCAACTATGTTCCCGAGTTTCTCCTCGGACTTGAAGGCCGTAAGGACGGTGAGGATGCATCGGCGTTTGCGGGAAATTCTTCATGCTACAGGCTTTTGTAGGGCTGAGGGCGGTTTGAATGAGGCTTTAATGGCTTCAAGACGCGAGTGTGTGGAGGGTGGGTGGTGTGCAGGCGGCGAGCTCCGTGAAGAAGGGGGAGTCTCTGAGCGACACACTGCGCATGTTTGCATCTTATTCAGACGCAGTAATCATGCGGCATCCGGATAAGGTCAGCAGCTGCCGTCGCAACACTGCTGTACGAACAGCAGGAGGGCTGACATCCTGCTGTTGCTAGGTCGGCCTTGTTCGAGCCGCATGCGTGGGAAAGCGCCGTGGGCTAATGCTCTGTGTATGATGTGTACTATGTATGTCCGTATATATATATATTTATTTATTTATTGGTTTATTTATATGTGTGCATACATACATGTATATATGTGTGTATGTGTACTGCTTATGTGTGTATGTGTACTGCTTATGTGTGTATGTGTACTATATATGTGTGCATACATATATAGATATGTAAATATATATATATATATATATATATATGTATACACGTAATTGTGTATGTATATATATGTGTATGTACATATTTATGTGTGTCTCTTAGGGTGAGTGTTTTTGCTCAGGGCAGCTGCGCTTCTATTTCCTCCCCCGAATTTGGATTTTGTTCTCCTGTTGGGGGCTGCAACGGAGGCGGCGCAAGCGGCAGCGAGAGGAAGTGCGTTTTGCTCTCCGGTGGAGATGGCTGTGGAGAGCATCCAACCCAGGCCTTGCTGGATTTGTTTACTGTTGCAGAGCAGCAGAGTCAATGGTTTAGCGCTGCAGTCACTGCCGTCCTCACAGGCTGCCAGGAGCACGCGTCGGTGAAAAAACCGCCTCAGCTGTCGCTTGTCTTCTGGGGAGATCTGAAATACGGCAGGTAGAACGGCACGCTCCGGATAAGAAGATCGACTACGCGTGTCTCGCAGCCCCTCTTCCTCCCCCGTAAAGTCTCCCCGAATCGCAGCGGCTGGCGCTTCTACATAGACGCCACGAAAGTGTCATGACGACTAATGCGTCGTTCTCGGCGGGAAGGCGGTGTGTATGGGGCGTGGTGCTCAGGACTGTACACTCCTTGGCTTTGCTGCTGGCGCGTCTCTCTGTGCGCCTCTTTTTTGTTCCTGCGCATGGCCTTCACCCCGACGAGGCCTTCCTGCTGGAAGTCAAGCATATTTTCAAGCAGCAGGTTCGTCCTCGAGGTTTGAAGTCACACGTTCAGAGGTTCTGGCGCGGCGTTTGCTGCACACGGAAGGCGGGAAGAGGAGGCTTAGATACGAAAGCTCCTCCATCTCTGGAAACTCTGAGGTGCTGTTTCTCAGGGTCTTGATCCAAATGCGTACTGCTGCCTTTCGGATTCTCTGTCTTCCGCTTTGCCGCTTTGCGACTTCCTGTACGTTACCCGCGTACAGCTGGAGAGGATGCCAACTCCCGAGGCACCCCCCTTGGCGGCTCAAGGGGGCACGGAACGCAGCGGAAATGCAGAACTCACCATCACAAAGGCGTTTCTAGAGACCTATGGGAAGCCGGATCTCAAGGTGCGCAACAATTCCACTTCAGCCTCGGGCGAGGGAGGCATCTGCTTTCAGTTGTTTGCGAAGCTTTTTTTTGTACTTTCGTACGGCGTGTTGTTGCTGCGTTCGCTCTGTCTGTCTGCGTCCTCCAGGTGCTGCATCCGCTGCCGCGTGTGTCTGAGCTCTCTGTGTGCGTGGATGCCTCACCGTTCTGCTGCTACTTTCAACAGGCAGCCAACGGTCTTTTTGTGCGGATGGCGCTGCTGACGCTTTGCCTCTTGGGAGGCGTCAGAGAGGGGAGGGAGGGAGGAGCTTAAAAAGCAGGAACCGAAGGAGGATCCTGTGGCGTTGTGTGCTTTTTTGGCGAACGCTGACATAGAGCAGCGATACGTTGAGGGTGCTCGGGGATAGAATAAAGACAGCGTCGAGAGTCTTTTAGTGACTGCTGCTATGGTGCCGTCTGCGGAAACGCAGCGACAGACGCCGCTCCAGGCCTTTGCATCAGGCGGGGCGGGCGGTCTGTGCCGAACACAGTCTGGGCATAAGAGGGCATGGTGAAAGCATTCGGAGTAGCGTTTAGGACTAATAGGCTTTGGAGCATGCCAGAAAAACAGGCAGGCGCTGAAACTGAACAGCGTTGGGCAAGCGGCACAAGCGTTGTCTTTTGACTTCAGCGACCTGTCAAGCAAACGGGATCGTTGCAAGCTTCCCGGCGCGCGTAAAGTAGAGAAAGAAGTGTACCTGCATGGCACGCACTCGCTGCAAAAAGGGGGAACCCCTGCGTTTCTGCTCAGGCGCACAGCCTCTGGCTTTAGGCTGCACGCGCCAGCACAGCGAACGCGCACTGGGGATTTCTAATGAATAAAAATGCAGAAGGGTGTCCCCTCTGCTCATTTGTTGATGCCTCTTTGCGCTGCTGGCATTTGCTTCGCGGGGTGCTCTTGACGGCCTTCACCTCACTATTGCTTCTGCCATCTTGCGCCGGCAGTGAATTGAACTTCTCGGCTGCAGAGCCCCTCCTCCGATTCCAGAATTCCCAGCAGTCCGGCAGCTTCCACAGAGTGTAGAGGCAGCTCAGCGAACAGGAGTCCGTGACACTGGAAGGGATGTCTCAGCTGAGGTCGGTGACGGGGAAAATAAAGGGGGTCCGCTCCACTGAAGCAGTGGTGTCTGCACTCCAGCATCATAAAGCGTAATCATCTTCCTTTTTACGAGTGCACTCGCATATGGCGCGCTGCACAAAGGGACAATTCTAGGCGCTGTGCAGTTTTGACTGCCGCGAGGTACTTTTATTTTCCCTGGACCGCTGGAAGCTCACCAAATCTACAGGCGGAATAGGCGCTTGGTGAAGGGAAGCCCGTGAGAACCCTCCGCTAGGGGTGCGAGACACAGAGCCTCTGGAGCGCCTTGCCGTTTGTTTCCCTTGAGGGACCTTCTACACTTTGTAACGCTTTGGCTGTACATCCGGAACTCCCTACTATCTCTGCAAAGGATCTGTTGTTCATCTTTTACTCAAGTTCGCCGCTTTGTGCTGTCTAAACACAACACTTTAGCACCTTCTGCCGCCCTTATATTGTTTTACGAAGCCCTCGGGGACTAAAGCTGTGCTGTATGGCAGTGCTTGTAGGTTAATGGATGCAGGGTTGCGTGAGCTATCCTCATGCCGCAAACGCGAAGGCTGTGCCTACGCTATGCTCGGGGTGGGGTCTTACGCACATCAAAGGGATCCTAGCTGTGGCATCATACGGCGAGACCCCATGGAATTTGGGGGCAAGAGGCGTGTGGCGGGTTGAGATACACTTCGAAGCATTCTACTACACGTACTATACTACCTGACTAAGAATTAGTAGACAATTGTACACTTGATTGGGCTAGGGCGTACACGTTCTTGATTACAATGTAGCATTCGATCAAAACAACGAGATGCAAAGTTGTATGCGTATGCAATTCGTGCTGTATGTAGCTAGCTGTGATTCCTCGGAGAGTCCAGCTACACGCAGCATCGCTATCCCTCCTGATTTCTGAGGGATGCCTGAAGGGCGCTGGCAAACGAAAAAGGGGAGGAAAACTCTCTTTGAAATAAATGCTTAACAACTTTCTCGAAAGCTTGTACCGTGTCTGAAGTGAGGCCTCTCCCTGCGGCTAACCGATGAATGGAGGTCTACAGGAAGCGTTTTCCAGGCACATCCAACACCGTTTGTGTGAGTAATGTTAGGTTTTATTCCAAAGGTCCCGTAAGGGAGTTCGTTGAAAGAGTGTGCGCAAACTTCAACGCTTGCAATGTGAGTGCCCGGAGGGATGCAGTGTTAGCGAGTACCCTCTGCAACGGGGAAACCAAGATACAACTTAGAAGGCAGGATGCAAAAGGTGGAGGGACGACCCCACAGTCAGCCCTTAGAAGCCTTTGTTTGTGTGTGTGTGCGTGTGTGTGTGTTTGTTTGTTTGCGTGTTCTGTAGGCAAGAAACTTTTACAAAGACTTGGTGGTGGTAGGTATTTGTGCTGTGGTTCCGCATTGCACCTGTATGACGTTCCTGCCTTTCTCTTCTCTAAGCGTCTATTTGTTCGCCAGCCTCTTTTCTTTTGGCATTTTCCTACGGTCTCTACTCGAGTATTTGCTGCGTCGCTTCTTGTTCCATTTCCCAGAAGAAAGGCTGCCCGGTAATGGATATGTGAGGGTAGTTTCACTTCTTCGTGCATGCAGTGCATCACAAGCTGCCAATGCAATGGATCTTTTCAGGTGCGTGTGCAACTTGCGTCTCCCTCCCCCGCCGTTTCTCCCCACTACTCCCCCCCTACTTCAACCCGTTCCAGCTGGAACCAACCCATGGACAGCGAGCGGCATATCCGTCTTCCTCTCTGTGGCCTTCTTGCCGTCTCCTGATCGCCTCCCTTCCTGGATGTACGCATGCATGTATGCATACAAACATGCACTTAGACATGCATGTCTGTCAGCTGTCTGTGGGCTGGCTGGATGGTTAAGAAGGCGAGCGTTTGGCCGTCAATGCTCACCTCTCGTGTGCGGATGCTGCCCAACTGTTTACCTCCTGCGTGTCTGTGCAGGCTGGTAACGCCTCCAATCCTGTTGCTGACTCTCTCTCTGACCCGAACTATTTATTCTTTTCCGTGATCTTGCCGCAACGGTTTGTTTGGAAGGCCTAGCCGGGCGGCCTCCGGCTATTTACTCTACGATCTGGTGCACAATCCAACACCCCACTGCTCAGCGGCGGAATATCTCCCTTACCTCAGAAACCTGCGAGGCGAGTTTATCACGTAAACATCACCTCAGATGGCCGTCTCGGGGGCTGGCGTCTCTCCCAAGTTCTAGAATGTTGTCTTCGGCACGGAGCTTCCGCAGGGTGACAAACAAAAGTAGTGGCAAGCCAGTTGCGATCGCAGCGGCAAGATATTGCAGCAGCGGCGAACAAAGAGGAGGACAGCACGCGGCGGGAGGTGTTCTGTCAGGAGGAGGAAGGGAATCCCGAAGGGAGAGAAGCGGGAGCTTTTGGGGGGGTGTGTATTAGGTGACAGACGTCATCATGACGGACGCCCTCGGCGGCATTTGAGCGATTTCTATGGGAGTAAATGCACAAGGAGGAAGCCATGGGGTGACGCGTGCCTCTGGAGGATGTCTACAGCAGCTTTCGTAATGGAAGGGCGGTGCAGCATGCACGTTGGAAATTCGAGTGGCCCCCTGGAATGTGCGAAAAGAATTGGAAGGGCGCGGCCTGTTGCAATTGGGGAAGAGGGGCAGCAGCACAGCGGCCAATAAAGAAGGGCTGCCGAAACGCAGGCGTGCAGGACGGAGGAAGGGGAGAAGGCGGGTGCTGAGACTTTGTATCCGCGTCTCTGTACCTTCGTCCTCCTCCTCCTGTCATAAACGGAGTGCAATGACTTGAAAAGCTCTCTACAGCCTTGCGTCGCGCGCTCCTTCTCCCCCGTCCGACGCCTTGCTTGCCCTCTCTGCTTCAGGTGATCTCAGGCAATCCGACATTTTAGAGCCGGATTGGCGTGCGCAGAGAGTTTGCAACAGAGGCTCAAGCTGGATGTGCGTGTGCGCATCTCGCCTTTTATTGCTTGCATCCACAGCTGCATGTATATGGGATTTGTGCAGGAGCGGGCGAAGTAAGTTTTCAGGGCCATGGAGGAAATAGCGCGCCTCCCGTCAGATGAGGTCTTTCCAAGAGGTACAGCGAGCGATACCCCCAGAGACGCGAGGAGGGGCAACGCCGTTGGCATCTCCGCCGGAACAAGGCACACACATTCGTCTTGCGAGCCTTGTGAAGAAGGACCCCCAAAGGCTTTGCCTCGCAGTCGAACCTCCTGCAGTCGGGAGTGCGTCCTTGTCGTCTTCTTTCTTCCGAGGGCTAGAGTGTCTGCGCTCCGCCTCTCCGTGTTTCCCCGCAGTGGCCTTGCGGCTGCCCGCACAGGGGACTTTTTTCGGCCTAGAAGTTGGGTAGTGAGCGCACCGGGGCGATGCTAAGAAGAAGAAACAGTCTGCCTCAGAAAGCGCGCTGCACGACGCGCACACACATGGGCGTAGGGTAGCTTGGCGTGCACCAGGCACGCAGCCTTGAGTCGAGTAGGATGTTGGAAGCTGCGTCTCACTGAGTGGGGTGTTGAGAGCTGAGTCTCAAGCTCCCCGCTTTGTACCAAGGAATTCACCAGTGTACAAACGCACAACCCCCATGACCCCGAACGGAAGCTTGAAAACGTCTGCAAAGCGAGCCGCTTGACTCCCCTAACAGGCTACGCTCCAGGGGGGCCTACGCTGCAACAAACAGCTGCGTTGGACTATGAGGCTATCTGCCAGCCTCCTGCGTGTGAAAAGATGAGTTGGCTTTGGGGGCTATGAGGCGAGGCCTGTCTGGCATGGTGGGCGCTGTGCCCTCCAGTGCGGCGCGGCGCTCGCTCACTCGCTCGCTCGCGCGTAGAACAAGACAAGGGTGGTATTCATCGGCCTCCATGGAGAGTCTGTTCCTCTCTGCACTCCTTAATCAGCGCCTTGCCCCTTCCGCGTGAATACAGCCAGCTGACTGTCCAGCGGCAGCGTGCCGAAAGGAAGGCCTCGTTTCGTGTAGCGCGTTCGCCAATCGCTTGCCCCCCCCGGATGCGCCTGCCCGCCGCTAAGGCGGCTATTTTACGTCAATAGGTGGCGCGTCTCTCGCATGCCCTTTGCCGCCCCTCGCAGCCAACTATCTATCCAGCTGCCTTCCCAGCTGCGCCGTTTCCCGCATCTCAGGCGGCCTGTAGATACACTTAAGGAACAGGCCTTGCTCCCCTAGTGAACCGTGTTTGCTGGGGCGCTGCGAGGGCAACTTTCCTGTGCGTGCTCCTGCCCGTTGAGCAGTTGTTTCTCTTGCCCACCACTTTAAAAACTAGGAGTGCTGTGAAGTGAGTGTAGGCAACGGGAGCATCGTCATCTACAGCCCTACTGCCGCATCGTAGAGGCCATCGCTAGCTAGCTAGAGGGCCTCCTTCGAGTAGCTGTTCATACAGAATGTTTCTTTCCCTGAGGACGCCGCCGCGCGCCTTACAATAAGCTCCTGCGCCTCGCAGCTTCTTGCAGCTGGCAGCGCGTCCCCTATCGCATGCATCCATACCTGCCCCTCCCTTCCTTCCCCCCCTTCCTGCCTCGTCTTTCCACCTTCCCGGAGGCTTTGTGTACTACTAATTCTCAACGCGTATACTACACTGCCGCAGGCATACGCCCATGAGGTGAAGGGATGTAGCATCATGGTGTCCACGCGCCAAGAAAGCCGCGAGGCAACAGAGGCGAACAAACAACAACAAAAACAGACTAACTAGCTGACGGACAGACAGGAGGCACGCCGCCACAAGCAACACAAGAAGCGCGACAGCCAGTCCTGGCAGGAAATTGTGATACACGAGACAGCCGCAAAACACTACATCTATATATAGGCAAACAGCAGCCCCGTGTTTACAAAAAAACTGTCCGAGTCTTCTGGACATAGTTACTGAGGATGCTGTCGCTGGTGCTGGTGTGTTGTCGTCGCTACAGTGCCAACATCCGCTACAGCAGCCCGTCGTGGCACACAAAGAGAACGTCCGTGCAAGAGGCCGCGTAGAAACCGCCCTCTTTGCACGTCTTCTTCGCTGCTAACCCTAGAACTAATTGATGCTCACAAGATACTGTTGCTGCCGCTCTCACCGTTGCTGCCACGCCTGCCTCGACAGGTCCACCACAGCCGTGGCGCTGAATAGCCCCCTAAAGTGCTGAAACCGCTATGCTGTATACTGTAAAGGCTCGCCCTTTCTAGTAGCGAAGTCTTCTGGTCGAGGAAGAAGCGCTGCTAGGATCGCCTTGGTAAGTTCTCACGTTGCCCCTTCCATCATCTTCCGTGTGCGTGACGGAGCGATGGGTGACTCCTGAAAAAAGAAGAGGACGCAGCAAACACCAACAGGACCCCCTATATTAGTTTTTCCGAAAAATTCCCTCCAGCCAGCGGGACCCATGAAGAAAACTCCCTGTTGATGCAGCAGCTGCTACACGAGACGGGGCACTAATTGAGAGCGGCAGCCACCATGCCGCACATACGAGACAAGACAGACACAGAGGGACAGCACGAGACACACATATATGTAGATGGAGAATTAATATTGAGAGATATAGATTGAGCACAGCGTGCAGAAAGGGGCTGCCATCACCACATGTGTGCATGTCTGTGTGTGTATGTCTGTGTGTGTATGTCTGTGTTTACGCTACCGCACCGTCAGGAGTCGTGTAGACTTCTTCTGTCACCGTAACTGTCCGTCCATTGACGACCTTTGTATGGGAAGACACAGAACGGGAAAAGCCGCCCCCCCCGCCGAAAGAAGAAGACGAGGACGACATCATCACTTGGCGGCTGCCTCTGCCACCCATGGACTGAGACTGATGCTGCATGATACTCGCTGTACACACGCACATACGTACACACACATAGATGCATACATACAATTACATACATACAATTACATACATACAATTACATACATAAACATATACACATATACATATATATACATATCTATACACAGAGAAAGAGAGCAACAACAGCCTAACGGGGATCCAGGGAGGCGCAGCACCCGCATCCGCAACAGCCTTTTGCACGGCTGCGCCCCTTGCCAATAAATTGAGACATGACACATCGCACATGAAAAAGCGTGGCAGGTCCGACCCTCACAGCGTGCTGCCTTCCGACTTAAGGAGGGCTTAGAGGATTGAAGGGTTTCACGCGAGGCGTGACAGCGTACTCCCCATGCCGCCGAAAGAACTGTCGAAGAAATCGCCGAACAGATCGCCGTGAAGACTGCCGAAAGGACTAGGGAAGCCGCTGGCTGCTGCAACGCACACTCCCCAGACTCTCAGCTGGCCGTTTTTCGCTTTTTAAACGCAGAAACGCCGAAAAAAACGGCTTGCCAGCTGCTGCCAAGGCTCCACAGCCACTCCTCCACATCAAGGCGACCCCTCCCTGGCCTGAAGCATTGGCGCTCGAAGAGAAAGCTCGTTGCAGTAGTCGGCTACTACCACCGCTCACCATGCGCATTCGTGAAGGTCCTGGATCTATGGTAAGAGCTGGCAGGTGCCCCCATGGCTTGGCGCTGACTCATTCCTACTCCTCCAAAAAAGCTATCCGCTTCCTCGAAGAGGCCTCTGAAACCACCCCCGCGCACCCAAGAACGCAAGACAATTTTACAACCCAATAGGCGCATGCATGCGCTCGCTGAAAAGGGCTGCCACAAGGCCAGGATGCCCCCGAACGCACACGTCTGCATGCCCTCTCACCGTCCAAAAGGCGAGCCGCCGAACGCCATCTCGAAAATGCGCTGAGCATCGCTGAATTGGAAGGCTTCATGGAAACGGGCGAACTCCGCAGCCGCTGCCGCCGCTGCTGCTGCTGCTGCTGCACCTGACTGAGTGCGTCGCATTCCAGGGGCACTGCTAGGAGCCGAAGAACTAACTGCGCGACACGGCAGCGACCAGCAAGTACACACACATTCACACCGCAGCTGCAGTGAAGTATGCGGAGCAGGGAAAAGGGGAACAGGAGGGAGGCGGGGGATGGAGGTATTTCTAGCCCAAAGCCACGACGTGTCGTGCCAAGAAACACCTACGCCACCGAGGGTCAGTGCTGCGAGCCGTACTGTCGTAGAGCCTGCGCTTCTCCTCGTTCGAGAGAACTTCATAGGCCTCGGAAATAGCCTTGAAGCGCTCGGTCGCCTGCTCCTGACGCTCTTTGTTCTTGTCTGCACACGATATACAAAAAAGCCCTTCGGCGGATGCTCTTGTTGACCTAGGGTGTCTCAACGCTGTTGCTGTTACCGTTGTGCTGACGGCAGCGCCTTCTCTCCATCCAGCTGCACGCGATCGCAGGCTCCTCGCCAGCCCCCTTTCGACGCCTGCCTCTGTGTAGTGTCTCGGGCCGCAAGAAACTCTCCCTGCAGTTCCTGCCCACGTGTAAACATACCTGGGTGCCATCGAATGGCAAGCTTTCTATAAGCCTTCTTAATCTCCTCGTTCGAAGCGTTGCGCGAAACGCCTAGCACTGCGTAATAATCCGCGGCTTCACCCTCCATGGCGCAAGGCGTTGCAGTCTATGGAAAACGCAGAGTTCAGGTTCAGAAAGAGATGCTCGCATGCACGGACGCGCAGCTCACTGTGGAGGTCTCACGACGGCCGAAGCTCTAATCTGCGGCCGAAAGATGTGGATAAAAGTGCGGATGTAGTTAATTCTCCTTTTGCTGCTGCTGCCGCGTTTGCTGCTGCCGTCGCTCCAGCGCGGGGGCATGTAAGAAGGATTAAACAACAGCGCAAACTGGCCAAGAAATCCGGAGCAAACTTGAAAGTTTCAAGCGAAGAATAAAGCATGAAACCGGAAAGACGGATGCTGGAGAGGGCCGAGTTTACGAGGAAGCCTTGGGTGTACAACGAATACCCTCTGGCATTAGTTGCCGCTACAACAGCCCCATTGGCACTGTGGCGGAATGCAGCCGCCCGGCATGTAACCGCCGAACATTTTCATGCAGCATTCCACGTTTCCGTTATTTTTCGTCTTTTATTGCGAATAACTGTGTCTTTAGCGGAAGACGCACGCGGTACAGCAGGCAGCTGCCGTGGGACGGTCAGCCGCCAGCACCAGGCGAATTCAGGCATCGCACGCCGAGAGCCATAAGAGGCCCCCGGCCGTCGTTAATGCAGTTTAGGGGCGCCATAAAAACCACTGCCGCAGTATGAATAGGTCCTAATCTTTCGTATGGCTTATTGCTTCAAATGCGAGTTCTGGCAAAACGCAGCAAGCGCCTATTGCAAGAGCCGCCATGCACATTTGTACACCTGGCTGCTTAATCTACAGAGAAGAATGACCCTTGGCAACCCTTAGGCAGGCGCTCTAAGTAATCGGGGATCGTTCCGTGGCTCCTCGTAGGCCAAAGAGGCCGCACAAATGCACTGGTCACGGTGAAAGCACTCCGATCAGACATTCTACAATTCTTGGTGTAACACCTTACCCAGGGTCTTTTTAGAGGTTTCATTGTTTCCTTGAACCAATGCAAAAAGGGACAAAGAGCTCTTACGTGTGCCAATCTCAGAGAAGTTTTCTCCTAGGTGTCTCCCTCCGGTCTTCTCCCTTTCAGGGTGTCAGCATGATAGGAAAGAGGGACAGCTTAGGTGAATGGGCGCTTCTGTAGCCTTTAACAACTCCGAGTTTTCATTTGCACCCAGGTACACAACAATCTAATATTCATCGACAAACGGCTTCGACGTATACATGTAGTATGTGGAGCATAGGCTACATAGTGAATTTCTGCAGCACTTGGTATTTCTATTAATGTGTAAAGACTTGAGTAACTGCTTTATCTGAAGGAACATCTGATTTCCTGCAGAGTAGACTTGGCTTGATGCAGTAGGGCGCAGAGTGTGCGTATGCATTAGACACAGTGCGCCGCCTGCTGTGACTGCTCGGAGTGTTTAGAGGGTGCAGCAACGCTGATCTCAGCTATGGCTCTCCCCTCACGTGGATCGCATGACGGCATGAGGGTTTAACGGAAAAAATTTCCCTTGGTTTATCGATCAATAACTTTATTGTGCGCTTGCATTGAGTCCACATACAGGCTTCTTTGTTCGCAGACCTTAGATGGAATGCTGCAGGTTGTAGTACCCCATGTTTTAAAACAGTTGTTTTTCGATCATTTAATGGCTTTAAATGCAGTGGTATGGCGGCTTTCCCTAAAACATTTTTTCTTTTCGACTGATTCAGTCGGTAATTCAATAACTTGTTTCTCGTTGGCAGTGGGCTTGAAAAAGGTTATCCTGGCACTGGACGCTGACTATTTCTCTCTACCCTTTGTTTTAACTCCACCTAAGCCTGTATGCTTTTGCCAAGTGACCCAGCCTCGACATCTACAAGTGTGTTCTAAAGCTCGGCTTGGCACTTCCTTTTCAGCCAAGGATGCTAAAGGTGCGCCCATTTTTCCCTTAACTTTCACGTAGCCCATGACTTTAGGACTCCCAATGGGCGGAATTTCGTTCGCTGGGTTTCTGCCCTTCCTGTTTTCACCTAACGGGAGACTTCTTGTGAACTTCATATTAACCACTATCAGAGCAGATATTTGTTCACGCTGTGGCTTTTGGGAGCCAAAGATATATATTCCTTCACATGACAAGCTATTCATTGAGCTCCTTTCATAAGTTTTTTAGTTCCCTCAGTGATTGCTGTCGGGCTGATCTCAGCATACACCCAAAAGAAAAGGCTTGTATGAAGGCTTGAACTGTAGTGATTTCCGCAAGCAGATGACCTCCTCTGTATACATTAGGCGACAATTCTTGTGGCACTCCTTCTTTTAGTAGACAGCTCGCACGGAGCACTCGCATGTCTTTGCTTCAGGGACACAAGGCGAGGTCCATCTCCAGCCGGGTAGCAAAATATTTCGTAGTCATCCATGGAAACGTAGAATCCTGGTTCGCATGGCAACATCATTCACATACCCATAAACATTTTCTCGACTAAAATTGTGATGTTTTGGTACCAATCAGAGAGCTCGTGCGTTTACATCCTCAGGCGATTCAGCCTCTGTAGCCCGGAAAGGTGCCCTGCCTCCGTCATCATCCATCGCCACAGGGATTTTTCTCTCAAAATGTTTCGAGAGAAAATAAGATTATTGGCATTCAAATAATGTTATTGAATCCAGACAACTAAATTTGTGTGGTAAACCTGACACTGGTAAGGCTCCACCTAGGGTGTCGGTAGGCAGACACATCTCTCCACATTTAAACTTCTTTGAATAGACCCCGGTTATTCTTCGCTCTGCGGTCTCCCTTAGACTTCCCCATACACTGGCCAAGGTCCAACAACGGTGAGTGTAGCTGGATCCTGTAAGCACTCCGAGCTTTCACAGCTCGTTGCCCCTTGTTCAACTAGCTACACATGCACGCATCGCTGCGGTTTATTGTATCCAGCGAATGCCACCCTGCACAGGCTGAGGGCTAAGAGCAGACAAATCAACTAGGTGATTCTTTATGAATTCATGGGAAATTCCGCCAGCTTAGTAAAAGGCGTTCGTAGGTGCCGCTTAGCCCCCAGAGGTTACCTCCCAGCGGGGAGCTTGTCCAGTTACCCGTACGCTCCTGAACTCAGTGAGTTGGAAAGTTCTTTGGTTTGTCCCAAGATGCTACAGAGGCTTTTTGAATCAGCCACAAACATCGTGGTGTGTAGCAAGGCTCGAGCTCTCTCCTCTAGGTAAGCGGAGGGTGAAGTGTATCGAACTTTCGGTTTTTTCCAATCCTGACAGCACAGAGCAGTAGTGCTGCAGCCTAGTGGTGTGGCGATAATGAATGCGCACTAAACAAGGAAAACCGGCACTGCATAAGGGAGACTCGCCGTTCAGTTTCCCGACTGGAAGAAGTGTGGCTGGGCCCCTTTTCCGCCGCCACGCCGCGGGGGCCCCCACGGGGCCCCCGCCACTGGGGCCCCCTACGGGAAGGAGCTTTGTGGCACTCCTGCTGCCCCGAAAGCGGGGAAAAAAGGAAAGGCGAATGAGGAATGTGTTTTTAGAAATATCCTGAGGTGTGTGTGGCTAGAATTTCATTCACGGGGTGTAGGTACCCCGGCGACCCCGAAGAAGATGCGGCCTTCGGGAATTGTCGGTGCCCCTTATTCGTCTCTCCTGTTGCTCTGGCAAGCCTTTAAACGTCGAAGCGCTCGATGCTGGAAGGGCGGTTGCTCTCTGCGCGCAGGGGCTTTCCCCTTTGGGGAGGCGGCTCTTTCTGGCTGACGCTGTTGGGGGAGTCGGGCATGGCTCGTGTCATCAGTGAGCCTTGCAAGAAGGCGATCCGCAGTGCCTGCGGCAGCGACGGCAGTGGTGGCCAGGGGAAGCTGCAATTCCTTGCGCCGGGAACCTCTTCAGTCGAACTGCCGAGTTGTCTGTCATGCTCCCTGCCATGTTGCTTGCCGTGTCATCAAGGCGCTGCTAAATACCGCGGTTCTGCGCCTTTCGCGTTTGGTTTCACCGTGAGGGGCAGTTTTCTCGAATCGCGTCGCCAGTTTGGCAGCAGCACTGCTGCTGAGGGCCTTCTTTCTGCGTCTGCTACGCCGTGCTCGGGGGGGCCCCCTGGGAAGCGCAACGCCCTCGTGCTGCATGCGATTCCTCCGCCTTCTCGCCGACAAGCTGGCAGTGGTGGCGCTAAGACGCGGGAGGTAGCTCTTAGACCTTGACCTTAAGCGGAGCATGACTTCTGGCGCAGCCGTTGAGAACGTGGCGTCACTATCCCCCTCTTCCAAAGGAAGGCTTGCCTCCGGTGTGTATTCGCCATGCGTGTCTGCAGGAGTACATTAGGGAGGCGGAGGAAACATGCAGTCTGGCAAGGGCTGCAGAGTTTCGGCTTCTGCATTATCACCGCCTCGGTAAGGCAGAAGACGGAAGACGGTAGGATGGAAGGATAGAAATACATGCATGAGGCCATCAGAGAAGAAGTTACGTCACTGTGCTCTCTGGCGAGTTTGGAGTCTTCTGCAGTGAGGGATGTGGGTGTTTTCGCGTGCTTGTGCAGGGCAGAAAGGTCCTATTCGCGAAATTTGTGGCGAGGCTTCTGACGCGCTGACAGACAGTTTGCTGCAACACCCTCAGCCCTCAGATTCCACGCCTTTGTCAGACCGAGGAATTGCCGAGGCGGCTCTTCTTCGTCTAAGGCGCATTGATCGGCATTTCTTCTTTACCAAGGGTCAAGTCCGCCATCTCAGACTCGAAGAGCTCGCTTGCCAAAGGGGCGGCGAACAGCGCTGCAGACTGACTCACTTGACTGACTGACTGACTCAGTTGACTGACTGACTCACTTGACAGACTGACTGACTCACTTGACAGACTGACTGACTCACTTGACTGACTGACTGACTCACTTGACTGACTGACTCACTTGACAGACTGACTGACTCACTTGACTGACTGACTCACTTGACTGACTGACTCACTTGACTGACTGACTCACTTGACTGACTGACTCACTCACTTGACTGACTGACTCACTTGACTGACTGACTCACTTGACGCCACACGAAGCGGATGCCAGGCTGCTGTGGCAATAG